GATTGCTAGCCTTGAGCAAAAGATCCGGGACGGTGCCCAGACACAGTTTAAGCTCCAGAGAAAAAGCTACTTGCTGTAGGGACAGATAGTCCTGGCTAGAGGTCAGGTGTAAGGGTGGAGAGAGCCCTCAGGGCTGAGTTTCAGGTAAGAAGAGCCTGCTTGTCTGCCTCCATTTCCCTACCACCAACCCTGGGTACCACCAGGAGATGAGAAGGTAACTGAGACTGCGGCCTAAGCATTCTTTATGTCTGTCCCCCAGCCTCTGATCAGGAGTTGCTGGAGCACTAGTTTTGTACGTTGATATTTATTTACTTTGTGTGTGTGTGTGCGCGTGCGTGCGTGTGTGTGTGTGAGCGCGCACACACACATGCATGTAAATGCTCGTTTAAGGGCTTGAATACAGTCTGGGCACCGTCCCTTAGTTTTATTCACTCAAGGCTGGCACTCTACCACCTGAGCCATCACTCTATTTCTAGCTTTTTGCTGGTTAATTGGAGATAAAGGTCTCTTGAACTTTCCTGCCCAAACTGACTTCAAACTTCAATTCTCAGATAACAGCTTCCTGAGTAGCTAGGATTACAGGCCTGAGCCACTGGTATCTAGCTTATTTACTGGGGTTTGATTTGGAGCCTTAAGTTTGCTAGGCAGGTGCTCTACCACTTGAACCATGCTCCCAGCCCCAGAGCACTTGGAAGCTCCTCAGGAATGTTCAGGTGATAAGCTTAGGTAACCATGCATTAAGATGAAGACACCCCCCCCCCCCGGGCAGCTTGCATTTTAGGGGTTCCTCGAAAAGCCCCCTACTGTCATGTTGAGGTTGTCCACATAGCCCTGGGAAGTGCAGTAAGATTGGCTCCCTTTGGTTACTTGGGCTTAAACTGTGGTGCACTAAAGTCTTCCTAAGTCTGTGACTTTGGCAAGATTTCACTGATGGTTGGAAATTACTGCGCAGAAGCCTAAAAGCAGATACCAGATTCAACTGTTCTGAGCTACCACTGACCAAAGCTGTTCTGGGAGTTCCTCCCCAAATCTATCTTGGTGTCTTCCAGTCTTGGCATTGTGGCAATTTTCTGCCCTCTACTCCATCAGCACCCAACATGACATTATCCTGGGCCCAACATCCATCCTCTCTATACCTCACCCCTCTTTTCTGTGCCAGAACCTGCCACCTCCTAAGATGATTGTCAGCAGAATGTTGGATTCCCCCAGGAAAAACTCAGTCCTACACAGAGCAGCTAAACTCTCAGAACCCAGTGACCAGAAATTTTCTTTTCCAGAATCTGGGATTTGCTTGTTTGGGAGTAACACCACATATAGGTTATGAAAGCCCCAGTCAGTCGTGTTTAAGACAAAGCCACTTCTAGAGAGTTTAAGTCAAAGCAGATTTTTTTTCTTTTTATTGTCAGTTGTAGGGATTCTCAGGCATTCTCCCTGAGCTCTTTCACTCAAAGCTAGTGCTCTACTACTTTGAGCCACAGCTCCACTTCTGGTTTCCTGGTGGTTAATTGGAGATAAGAGTAACATAGGGCTGGGAAGGTGGCTCAGCGGTAGAGTGCTTGCCTTGCATGAGGCCCTGGGTTAGATTCCTCAGCACCACATAAGCAGAAAAAGCAAAAAAAATTAGCACTGTGGGTCAAGCGGTAGAGCGCTAGCCTTGAACTGGAGAGCTGAGGGACAGCACCCAGGCCCAGAGTTCAGGACCACGACCAACCAAAACAAAAAAAAATCACAGATTTTCCTGCCTGGGCTGGCTTTGAACCACAATCCTCAGATCTCAGCCTCAGGAGTAGCTAAAACTACAGGCATGACCCACGAGCACCTGGCTTCAAAGAAGAATTTATTGCCTCCCTGATCAGCCCACAGGCTACAATGAATTGCTGCTTACACATGCACATGTGCACACACACATTCCCTGAGATATTTGCAGGATGAGCCCAACCATTCTATGAAAGACACCTACTTGTCTGAAATGCAGCAAGGCCCACCACAAAAGGACTGTCGATAAGCCATACTTCTTGTGCTCATGGCCATAGCACCTCCAAGCCCCATTCCAGAAAGGGTCTTTCAGTCTTGCATCACTAAAAGAACACCCAAGGTGATTCTTTCCTTGCCTAGCAGGCAGTGGGATTGCACTTCCTGGGCCCCAAAGGTTGGAAAAGGCTGTGTGATCATTCCTGCTCAATGAGATTGAGCAGGGGAAAGTGGCTCACTGTGGGCTGAAGCATTCCATTGCTGGTGTGAACTCCCTCTGCCACCACCCCCCTCCAGTCCTTTACCTCTGCTGCAGTGGAAGCTGGTGTTGACATAGCTGTCCTTCATCCTGAATCTCCTCAAGTCCACCACCAGGAGACACATACAGTGGAACATTTAGAAATTGGAGTTTTTGTGTTAGTACTGGGGCTTGAACTCAGGATGTTGTTACTTACCATTTTTTGCTCAAGGCTGGCACTCTATCACTGGAACCACAGCTCCACTTTCAGCTTTTTGCTGGTTAACTGGAGAAAAGAGTCTTATAAACTTTCCTGCCTGGGTTGGCTTCAAACTGATTCTCAGATCTTAGCCTCCTGAGGAGTTAAGATTATAGACATGAACCACTGGTGCCTGGCTCTGGTTGCTTTAATTTTTTAATTTTGGTCTGTGGTGGGACTTGAACTCTAGGTCTGAGCCCTGTCCCTCAGCTCTTCAGCTCAAGACTAGGACTCTACCACTTGAGCCATAGCGCCACTTCTGGCTTTTTCTGTTTATGTGGTGCCGAGGAATTGAACCCAGGGCCTCATATATGCAAGGCAAGCACTCGATCACGGAGCCACCTTCCCAGCCCAGGTTGCTTTAATTTTGATAACAGTAATAGCTGCCATTTATTGGTAGGCAGAGAGCTTACAGAAAATCCCTTATACACTGCTTACAATTTGAAAACACCCCAGCATCATGGCTCTCCTCCTAATCACTAGCTTAGCAAATGTCAGGTGGTCCTCACTCACATCTCTGGAACATAACTCCCCGCTGGTCTCACTTCTTTTTTTTTTCACCCTGTCCTTTCTACTACATGCTTGGCACTGTGCCCAGTGCAATGAACAGGACACACATAATCTGCACTTTCCCAGTGCTAAAGTCCAGTAGGGAAGACAGATAAGTCAGCAGTTACTACACAGTGTACTAAGCATCCACACTTTGCTAAGATCAGGAGACCAGCTGAGTAGGGCCAGGGGAAGGTTTCCTGAAGGGATGACTAAGAAGTTGAGACCTGAAGAATAGGTAGAGGAACTTGAGAAAGAAAGAAAGATCCAGGCAGAAAAGATAGCATTGGCAATAGCTTGGAGACGAGAACCTGGGTCAAGGCAGCAGGTACATGGGGCTGGAAGTTGACCAAGGAATGTAAAAAGATGAATCTGGAAAGTAGAGCCAGAACAGATCTTGACAACTGGAAAGACTCCAGTAAGAAATGGAAAGCAGGCAATGGTAGCTTGCACCTGTAATCCTAGTAAGAAATGGAAAGCAGGCAATGGTAGCTTGCACCTGTAATCCTAGCTGCTAGATCTGAGAGTTAAGAGTCCAGAGGCAGCTGGGGCAGACAAAGTCTGTGAGACTCTTATCTCCTATTAACTAGCAAAAAGCCAGAAGTGGAGGTGTGGCTCAAGTGGTAGAGTACCAGCCTTGAGTGCAAAAGTCAAACAAAGGTGAGAGGCCCTGAATTCAAGCATCAGTACTGGAACACACACACACACACACACACACTTGAAGATAATGCAAACAGTGCCTGGCATACAGATCATTATTCTACTTATTTGTGAAGCCTTTTTGTGTGTGAGCTATAATTGCATTGTTATAACTCAATACTTACACAGTTATCTCCCAAATTGAGACGTCAAATGATTCGTGGAAAAGGCCAAATCTTGATATGGGTTTCCTGATCTCATCACAAAGCCTCACACAATTTAGGTACCTGGTTAGTATGTGCCAAGAACTGAAATCTTCAAAGATGGCTCAGAGTCAAGCCCTAGGCCCAGGATGGGACCAGACCACACCCTGCCACCAGAGGGCACACGACGTTTCCGGAAAGGGAGGTCTGCTGGGTTCCCAGCTCCGGACGTCTCTCGGCCTGCCCAGGAATCGGTGCGGCCAAGGTCTCGTGCAGGTTGCCCCAGGCTTTATTTTCAGTCAAATAAGCTACTTGATAATAAACGGATAGTGTTTCTAAAATTAGCATCGACTAACTTCCACTGCTACTACTTTGATTCTGAGCGTTTGTTGGGTTTCCACTGCTTGGGGCTTCCATCCAGCACCTTGACAAGACAAACGCTCAGTCAACTGAAGGATACCCCTAAGATCAACCCTGGGTGGTTTTACACCTGGAAAAGCAAGACGCCGCCTATTTCTGAGCTGGTTGGTTAATTATGGAAATCACTGGGTTGCAAGTATATAGGACAGATTAGTCGGATATTATTGGGCTTGTATCCTAGTTTTGCCAACCTCAGTCTGGGACAGTTGCCGATTGCGAAGCCCGTGTGCAGGTGGATCAGGACAAGGTGAAATGGGTATTTTTAGGGAGGAAAGGAAATCACCTGGGAAGGAAAGCACCTAGACAGGTCTAGGAAGGATGGGTCAAGAGCTGGCCAGGGAAGGAGGAGGGGAGGGGGGAAGACCCCGAATAGAAGACCAAGCGTCGGGCCTCCAGGGAGCAAGGTGTTAACTCAGGGCTCTTGTTTCCGCCCCCTCCCGCCTCCGCCCTCCTTCCGCCTCCGCCCGCGGCCCTGGCCAGGGCGGGGAGTGGGCGGACGGGGGCGGGGCCTGCTCTAGCTCTCGGAAAACAACAGGCCGCCGCCCGCACTGACTGGGTTAAGGGGGCGGGCCAAGAGGGAAGCCACGTGCCGAGACGCAAGGCTATTGGTTCTCCCGGAGTTGTTTGTGCGCAGCCATTGGAGACGTCGGGGCGCCGCGGCGAGCCGATTGGCTGAGCTTTGGAGGAGCCTCCAGGGCAGGAGGAGGGAGGTGGTGACCGAACCCTTGTGCTTGGGCCGGACGGGGCCGAGCCGAGCGCCAGTGCCGCTTGCTCGGGGGACCCGGGGACCGGGGGATTCCGCAGCCCGATCCAAGCCCCGACCGCGGGCGTCGCCGCCGCCACCATGCGCTGGGTCCGGGCGCTGCTGAAGAATGCGTCCCTGGCAGGGGCGCCCAAGTACATCGAGCACTTCAGCAAGTTCTCCCCGTCCCCACTGTCCATGAAGCAGTTCCTGGACTTCGGTACGGAGGGGGCGAGGGGCCGCGGGGCACGGAAGAGGGGGTCCCGGCAATGAGGGGTTAACGCCGAGGAGACGAGAGGCCTTGAGTATCAGGGTACAGTCAGGAAGGGGTTAACGGTGAGGCAGACTGGGCCCCGTCCTTAAAGAGTTAAGTGTACCCCGGCAAGAGACACTGTCCCCCAGACTGTTAGTGGGAGTGGGGGGGCCTAAAAAGGAGGGGTCACGGTTCCACCTCCTTGGGCTTTGCTAGGAGTCTTTGACTGTAAGGGATGGGAGGGCTGCATGGTGGGGGCAGAGAGGGAGTCTGGACCCATCAATGGCCTGAATATGGGGGTTGTCCTGGCGCCAAGTGTGGGGGATAGAGGGAAATTAGGGAACTACCAATGTGAGTGACAAAGCGGGTTGACAGTTACAGCCATCTGGAGGGAGACCTGGGCTGGGCATGAAGGGTCAGAGCAGCAGAGACATCTCCCAACAGCTGGGCGAGGGGCACTCTTTCAGATGCCCACCAGAAGTCCTCCCTAACCAGTTAGTGTACCTCCAGCCACTGCAGCTGTCCCAGCAGTGGGCAAGGACACTTGAAGATCAAATCCATTCTAGTCTGGCAGCCTGTCCTGAGCCGGGCAGAGAACCAAGTTACCATGAGGTAGTCAGGCCACTTGCACCCTCCCTTGGCTGCCCCTGGATTTCTGGGTCAGGATCGCCTGCTAACCATAGTTCCAAGGGTGGTTCTGGGGCAGGAGGAAGGCCATGGTGACTGATACAGTGGTATGGGCCCTATCTCTCTACATGGCATTTTCATCGTGCCAACTGGGATTGGGAGTCGGTCCAGATCTTAAGAGTTGGGTAGATAGCATTGGCTTAGGTTACAGCTTTGTCACTGATGGGAATGAGCAGAGAAGTGGCAGCCAGGACAGGACAGGACACCTGTTTCCCACGATATGTACCCCTCCACATGCTCTATTTGCCACAGAGACTTCACCTATGAAGAAAAGCTTCTTTGCTCCAGCAGTTGTCTAGCCCATACTGGACCCTAGGTGCAAAGGACTTAATCATAAAATGACAGAGTTAGAAGCAGACAGGGACCAGGCCAGAACCTGGGTATCCTTTCTGCCTCCAGGTTGCCATCATTTTTCTACCCCCTTTCCATCACCATCCTGGGTGAGGTGACCTGGGCCACGGCCAATGTGGGACCTGCAGCGAGTCTAGGTCTAGCTCCCATCAACTAGGTGTAGCCTGGGGAGGGACAGATGTCTCAGGGGCCTCTGTCCCCGTGGGTCAGTCCCTCAGAGGAAGTGCCTGATGGGAAGAAAAGTGACGTGTTTTAGGCAGCAGCAGCTCCAAATGGACCCTGCCCACCATGGTTAAAGGCAAATGGAGGTTCAGCTACAGGTAGGTAGGGAATGTCACCCCTGAAGTGATTAGTGGGTGGTGAGAGAGGCTTAAGCATTACAAGATTAGGAGAGCTGCTTTGCTAGGTACCTGGAAGGTTACTCGCTCCTTGACTTCTTGGTCAGTGCAGCCTTACCAACTCTGGGCAGTCCTGCTGTTCCCATGCGCAGTTGGGGGTTCATCCATTTCTCTTTCTCACCAGGGTCCAGCAATGCCTGTGAGAAAACTTCATTCACCTTCCTCCGGCAGGAGCTGCCCGTACGCTTGGCCAACATCATGAAAGAGATCAACCTGCTTCCTGACCGGGTTCTGGGCACACCCTCAGTGCAGCTGGTACAGAGCTGGTAGGACCCCCTTCCACGCCATCACCTGTGTCCCCAGGCATGGGACAAAAGGGAGGCATGGGGGCTCTTGGATGCTGGTGACTTGCCCAGGGAATCCTAGGCCTGAACGGGGACATAAGTCGGGCTCTCAGTCTGTATCTGTGGGAGTGTCTGGGTCTCACATCCTCCTTTCTCCAGGAACCCAGGAAGTCATGTGGCTGTTTTCACAGCCACAATTAAATCATGCTAATGTCCATGCTGGCCACTCACCTGGTCCTGCAACCCCAGTCCCTGACAGGTAGTATCTACTCAGAGTCATATCTGAAGAAACAGAGAAACAAGAAACTAATCTTAGAACAAATGATATCATCCAAGCTAGCTGTTTGGCTGTTTTGGAAAACATTGTGTCTACCAGCTTAGTCCCTTCCCAGTGAACTTTAGAGGGCAAAGACCAGAGTTTATTATAGGTAGCCACAGGGGCAGGAAGAAACCTGCTAACTCACAGCTCTGTGCTGGGCTGAGCAACTAGGTACTGGTAGCCAATGGCCTGTCACATGAAGCGTAAACAAAGGTGTGCCTTGTCACTGGGCACACCACTGACTGTTCATCTGTGAGCTTTCATGGCTCCTGGTTCAGGAAATACAGCATGAAATGGATCCAGAAACTCAGGTCAAACCTTGGAACCCAGCACCAGTCTGCATCTGAGAAAACAGCAGCTGCTGCTCACAAGAAGCCCACAATATCTCGGAGGAAAATAAAATTCCTGCCAAGACAAGACTGACGAAGTACAATATAGACAGTGAGAGGAGAGAGTGCTGAAGAGTTAGTTTTATTTAAATGAAGAATCAAAGTATTTTTAGTGTGTGTATGTGTGTGTGTGTGTAGGCACAAATACTAGGGTTTGAACTCAGGGCCTGGGAACTGTCCCTGAGCTTTTTTTTTGGCGGGGGGGGGGGGGGGGGGGGGTGTCCGGTCATGGGCCCTGAACTCTGGGCCTGGGTGCTGTCCCTCAGCTCTTCAGCTCAAGGCTAGCGCTCTACCACTTGAGCCACAGCCCCACTTCCGGCTTTTTTCTTTTTGCTTATGTGGTGCTGAGGAATCGAACCCAGGGCCTCAGGCATGCAAGGCAAGCACTCTACCACTGAGCCATCTTCCCAGCCCCCTGAGCTTTTTTTAAAGCTCAAGGCTGGCTATCTGCCACTTGAGACACAGCTCTATGTCTGGCTTTTTAGAGTCTCACAGACTTTCCTACCTGGGCTGGCTTTGAACCCCGGTCTTCATATCTTAGCCTTCTGATTAGCTAGGATGACAGGTGTGAGCCAACAGTGCTCAGCTCAAGGTATAATTGAAAAGTAATATTGAGTGTCTCCCTCCATTGCAGAAGGGTTATATGTTTATTTTGACACTTGGAAAGCATAAAAACATAGAAGAAAATGCCTGTGGTTATCTTCATAATCGAACTGAGCACAGTTGGTTGAATCTGAAGTTGTAAGGAGCTGGGTGTGGTGGTGCATAGCTGTAATCCCAGCACTTGGAAAGTAGAGGCAAGAGGATGGCAAGTTCAAGACTAGCCTGGACTACATGGTGAGACCTTACATTAAAAAAGTCAGGGGGTGTCTGGGAAGGTGGCTTAGTGGTAGAGTGCTTGCCTCGCATGCATAAGGCCCTGGATTCGATTCCTCAGCACCACATAAGCAGAAAAAGCTGAAAGTGGGGCTGTGGCTCTAGTGATAGAGCACTAGCCTTGAGCTGAAGAGCTGAGGGACAGCGCCCAGGCCCAGAGTTCAGGCAGAAAGGAAGGCAAGAAGGAATCTGTGGGTGAGTTGAAGTGGACATACAGCGGAACCTAGGCAACTCCAAGCTAGGAAGAGCTCTGCAGACTTGTCAGAGCTTTACTTTGTGGGTGTTGATTATACCCTAAATAGAAGTTATGAAGGCGCGGTGGAGGGACATAGAGCAGAGTCTGATTCTCACATACCGCAACCAGGTCACCTCTTACTGTGCCCTACCCCTAGATGGCCCAGAACCTCAAAGCCAACCAGCACATCCCACCACAGATGGGGGAGTATGGGGAGGTGACAGAAGGTGCCATCTGTTCTTCCTAGCACTTTACTCTGTCCAGCTGACTAGCCTGGCTGCCTGTCCAACTGGTCCCTGAATCCAGGACTTGGCTTTTTGGGGTTTTCTTTGGACATTGTGTTCCTGAAACAGCCAGAGATGCAAGAAGAGGGCAAAGCGCTTCTGGACAGCCATGGCTCCCTTGGGGTTCTTGAAGAATCCCTTCCTGAAAATCCAGACCTTGGTCTGCTTTATTCTTCATCACAGCTTAGAAGTAATTTTCTGTCAAGTAACAGCAGGAGGGAGAGAAGTTAGACAAGAGAGGACACTTCCCCAGTGCATGATTTGGAATAGAGAAGAGCTGGTTCAAAAGGATTACTAAAATATGCTGACAAACTCAAGAGAAAGCCCCCTGAGAGTATTTCCAGAAGCAAGGGGTGTCAGCGGTAGCAAGAGATACTAAAGAGTGGAAACAGAAAGGACTTCATGATGGGGACAAGGCAGTTGTCTGTAAGAGAGTGCAGAACTCCTTCAGGAGAGATAGCCATCTAGTCAGGATGATGGCAGTGGACAGGGACAGCACAAGAAGCAGCAGGCCTGGCAAGAGGTCCATCAGCCTGAGTCTAAAAAGTTTTCCAGCCGGGCACCGGTGGCTCATGCCTGTAATCCTAGCTGCTCAGGAGGCTGAGACCTGAGGATCGTGGTTCAAAGCCAGCCTGGGCAGGAAAGTCCGTGAAACTTTTATCTTCAATAAACCACCAGAAAACCAGAAGTGGCGCTGTAGCTCAAGTGGTAGAGTGCTAGCGTTGAGCTGAAATGCTGAGGGACAGTACTCAAGCCCAGAGTTCAAGCCCCATAACTGCCACACAAAAAAAAGAAAGAAAAAGAAAAAAGAGTTTTCCAAGTTCTTTAAATCAGAAGAGCTCTGTTCAGCTACAGTAGTGTAGTAGCTAACATGGTCGATACCAGTGCAGCCTCTCAGGTAAGAGGTGCTTCTGAGCATTCACTGTAAATGAAGAATTCCTGGCTTTAGTGCAATAAATCATTGCAACTGAACAGACTTAAGATAGTAGCACTTAACCAGGCATGTGGGGGCTCAGGCCCCTAATTCTACTACTTAGGAGGCTGAGATCTAAGGATTGTGGTTCAAAGCCAGCCCAGATGGGAAATCCTTTCTATGTGACTCTTGTCTACAATTAACCACCAGAAAACAAAAAATGGAGCTGTGGCTTAAAGTGGTAGAATGATAATCTTGAATGAAAGAGCTTAGGGACAGCACCCAAACCCTGAGTTTAAGCCCCATTACTGACAAAAAAAAAAAAAAAAAAGTGGCACTGGAGGTGATTGGAAGGTGGGGCAAAACTGTAAGCTTTGACTTGCATTTTACTGGACAATACTCCTCAGCAGCATGGTGTCTCTGAGCTTAGCGTGGCCCCGTGTGTCTGGGCAATAGCATCTCTAGGCCAGAGATAATGTGGAGGTTTCAGAGGCCGTGAGGCAGTGAGCAATGAGGACAATGAAACCCACCTGACCACTTGCAGCATGTCTGGGTACGCTGTTCTTCTATGCAGGTACCTGTGTCATCTTTTACCAGAGCCCTTACAAACTGGCCTGGGCATCATCCCTGCTTCTTAGATGAGAAACGGGGTTTGGGGAAGTAGAGAAACTTGGCTGAAGTCACTTAGGGAGTTGTGGAGTTGGGATTCAAGCTTTGTTTGTGGGATGTGGAGGCTGCATTTTGGAAGGGACAGGAGGCAAGCTGGGCCTTGGAAGCAGACAGAGATCCCCATGGGAACGGAGGGCTCCCTTACAGAGGTGGAATTAGTTGGCATTGCTGGGAACCTCAGGGGAGGAAGAGAGCCTGAGGACTGCCAGTGCTTCCAGGGTTACATAAGAGATACAGAGTAGAAGCTGGCGCTGTTGGCTCATGCCTGTAATCTTGGCTACTCAGGAAGCTGAGATCGGAAGATCAAGATTAGAAGCTGAGGTCTGAAGATCAAGGTTAGAAGCCAGCTCAGGCAGGAAAGTCCATGAAACTCTTATCTCTCAATAAACTACCAAAAAAAGCCAGTAGTAGAACTGTGGCTCTAGTAGTAAAGCACTAGCCTTGACCAGAGAGCAGCTCAGGGACAGCACGCAGGCCCTGAGTTCAAGCCCTAGGATTGGCACAGAAGGAAGGAAAGAAGGAGAGAGAGAGAAAGAGAAAGAAAGGAAGAAAGAAAAGAGATACCAAGTGACAGCAAATCCATCCATCTCTCACCAGACTCCTCCACCTGTCAGACAAGTGTGTAGACCCTGAGTCCTATCAGTGGAGCACCAGCACTCCTACCCGCCCCCCACAGCCAGCCCTTGCTGGCAGCACAACAGCGGTAGGCCAGGCCATCTTCCAGTCCCTCAGGTTGGCCGCCTCCCAGGAGCAAAGATAGCGGTCAACTCTAGCCAAGAGCATTCACTCTCTGAGTCTCCTTTAATTCCACCCTCTACTCCATGGAACACTTCCACTATAAACCCATTTTACATTTGAGAGTTAGCAGCCAGACCCCAAACTCAAGCTTGCCTCTCCTGCCGTATCTCTACAGATGGGCCCCAGCTGCAGGGCAGCATTGCCTTCTTTGGTGCAAGTCACATGGCCATGGCCTGGTTCGTACTGTTGTCCCCCTGCAGGGGTGGGTACTAGCACACATTTGGTGGCCCTTCCTCCTCACATTCACACTTACACCTCTCCTCCACACAGAGTTCCTTCCCTCCCTTCTCCCTTCCCCCCTCCACTTGCCCCTCCCCTTCAGCCTGCATTGCATTCTGGAGGGCAGTTAAAGACTGCTCAAATCATCACTCATAAGCCAGACCTTCCCAGGGCCTACCCCTGCTTGGAGCAGCCCCTTGCTTTCAGACCCAGCTCATTCCTTAGCCCTGGTAGCCAGGAACCTGCATGACTCTGTCCCTTGTGTTTCTCTCCGGAGGATCCAGGTCTAGCTGAGAGTAACGTGGCATGCCGGGCCCCTGGTGAATCTCAGAGCAGGCCCAGGACCAACAGCCCTGTTGGAAAATCCTCCTCTTTGTTCCAGGGGTATACCCCTGTGGGCACAGCCTTACTGTTTGTTGTCCCCCATACCTCCCTCATCTGAGGGCATTGCCCTTGTCAGGGCATACTGCTGCCCCTTGCTATGTTCAGTGACCATGTGACCAGGCCTCACTACGGCCTTTGAAGGTTCACTGGGCACTTCAGCTTTGTGCTGGGACTCTGCCCCACCCCCACCATCGCTGACTCCTCACAGTGCCGGGGGGGGGGGGGGGGGGGGGGGGGGGGGGGGGGAGCGCAACCTCCTAGCTCTGACCCCTTCCAGCCCTAGCTGCCCTGGGTTGTGGAGAAGGAGTCGCCCAGCCCCACCCTCCAATACCTCCTCTCTATACCTGTTGCTCAACATTCACAGCATTTTCCCCTGTTTACTCTCCCTCTAAGAATCAAGTCACTAGTTGAGCTCATGTTTGTAATCTTAGCTATTCAGGAGGCTAAGATCTGAGGATCCCAGTTGGAAGCCAGCCCCAAACAGGAAAGTCCATGAGACTCTTATCTCTAATTAACCACCAAAAAGCCAGTAATGGAGATGTGGTTCAAGTGACAGGCCACTAGCCTTGAGTGAACTAGCTAAGGGACAGTGCCCAGGCCCTAAGTTCAAGCCCCACAATCAACAACAATAACAAAAGAATGAAATGAGCAAGAAGCTGTGTCCTGGACGTGGGTAGGTGGCAAGGGGTATGGACTTACCTTGGCCTGGGCGAGAAAAGCCCAGCTCTGCATGTTGTTTCGCTGTCTGTGAAACGGCCTGCCAGTAAGCAGTGTCCGCTGCATGGGTGACTGGACACTAGGAGCAGTTAACACAGAGCAGAGCAGGAAAGTGCTGTTGGTCCGTGGGTAGGATCACTATTAGGCCCAGTGGAGATGGTCATGCCGTTGGCTTCATGGTGTGACCGGAAGTCAGACATACCAGGGCTTGGATCCCAGCTGCTCACTGTGTGCCTGGCAGCATATTGCCTTTCTTCTCTGAGTGGTGAATTACCCAGAAAAAGAGTCAAGTGAGTAGTGATCTTCTCTAGACTCGTGGGGACCCAGTCCCTCCCAAGGAGAGAGTTGGCTGTGCCGACTCTCCATTATAAAATCCAATTCCCTGCTGGGCACTGGTGGCTCATGCCTATAATCCTAGCTACTCCAGGGGGCTGAGATCTGAGGATCACAGTTCAAAGCCAGCCCAGAGGAGGCGGGGAGGGAAGTGATGGTAGGGGGAAAAAAAGGAGGAGGTAACAATGCTCGCTATGAAATGTGCTCATTACTCTACTCATGTAATTGTAACCCCTCAGTACAGCATTTTTACAATAAAAAAAGCTAGCCCAGGCAGAAAAGTGAGCCTCCTCTCCAATTAGCCATCAGAAAGTCAAAAGTGACACTGTGGCTCACATGGAAGAGCACTTGAACGCTTTTGTGCATAAAACCTCAGGGGTAGAACCTGGGCCCTGAGTTTAAACCTCAAGACTGGTGCGCATGTGCGCACTCGCGCGCGCGTGTACACACACACACACACACATTCTCTAGATCAGTTCTAAGCCTCAGCTACCCAAGCACCAGTTGTCCTAGGAAAAGCCCTATACCAGCTAGTCTGCCAGCTATGCTCACTGAATCATCAGCTGCCTGTGGGAGAAGTGTTAGGATCTGTCTGGGAAGGCGCTCGGAGACATCTGCATCCTTCCTTACTGAAAGCCCTTGGTCCATTTTCCTCTGTCCACTTTGGGCCTCAGTTTCCTGATCTAAAAGACCTCATGGATGAGCATATCTCCAGGCCCCTGCTAAAACTACTATTCTAAGATTCCAAAGTGGAGGCTTTCCAAGGAGGCCAGAGAATTGGAGGTTTTTGTGCCTAGCTCGCTGGGTTGTCAGGGAAACGTGCAGATGGACTGTGAGCCACAGCTTGTCAGCAGATCCAGCACTATAGTCCCACAGGAAAAGGAGACCAGGAAGGTCCAGCCCCAACTGAGGCTATGGCCCCTCCTGTCCCTTGCACACAGGTACGTCCAGAGTCTGCTAGACATCATGGAGTTCCTGGACAAGGATCCTGAGGATCACCGCACCCTGAACCAGTGAGTGAATTTCCCCATGGGTGGCTGGAAGGCAGGGGCATCTGGTCACAGACCCATGGTCAGAATACCAACTGAGTGGAAGGATTACAGGCATTCCTGGCAGCTCATGCCTGTAATCCTAGCTCCTCTGGAGGCTGAGCTATGAGGATCATGGTTCAAATCCAGCCTGGGCAGGAAAGTCGGTGAGATTCTAATCTCTAATTAACCATCCAAAAGCTGGAAATAGAGCTGTGGCTCAAGTGGTAGAGTGCTAGCCTTAAGCACAAAAGCTCAGAGATAGTGCTCAGGTCCTGAGTTCAAGTCCTAGAACTGGCACAAAAAAAAAACAAACCCTACCTTTTGGGGTTCCCAGTCAGAGCATGGAGCTAGACTGCTTCAAGGGGTCCTGAGTGATGAGAGACTTGGTATTTGGGTGGACAGGAAGCCAGGCCTTACCCTGGGGAGCCCCCACCCCTTCAGAGGACCAGAACTCCAACTGGGAGTTGGGGGGGGCATTGCATGTCTGTAGCCCTGGGGAGGGAGAGGAGGTCAGGAGTGGAGGAGAGAGCTGGGAGGGTACCCTTGGCTCACGCCTATAATCCTAACTACTCAGGAGGCTGAGATCTGAGGATCGAGGTTCAAAGCCAGCCCAGGCAGAAAAAGTCCGTAAAACTCTTATCTCTAATTAACCACCAAAATACCAGAAGTGCCACTGAGGTAGAATGCTAGTCTTGAGCTGAAGAGCTCAGGGACAGCTCCCAGGCCCAGGCCCAGAGTTCAAGTGCCATGACCAACCAAAAACAAAAAAATAGGAGAGCTGAAGGTTTCCCTAAGGCAGAGTGAGCGACTGTCTGCCCTTCCTATAGGTTCACTGAAGCCCTTGTCACAATCCGGAACCGACACAACGACGTGGTACCTACAATGGCACAAGGTGTGCTGGAGTACAAGGACACCTATGGCGATGACCCCGTCTCCAACCAGAACATTCAGTACTTCCTGGACCGCTTCTACCTCAGCCGCATCTCCATCCGCATGCTCATCAACCAGCACAGTGAGCTTGTGGGATATGGGGGAGGACTCGGAGCCATGGGTATGGGAGCTGGGAAGGGGCAACTCCCCCCTCTGTCTGGGGCAGGACATCAGGACACGTCAGCCACTGTGTCCAGGGGCCTAAGGCACCATTCAAGGACTGAGAAAGTTACTGGCTCCAAAAAGAAAGGTATACTATTGAGTTGTATTGCTTTAAATGTTTGCAAATTGTAACCTATGTCACATCTTTAATTTGTTTTAGTTTTTTTTAACTCTCATTATACTTAAGAACTGTTATTTAGAAATCCTTTTTTCCAGGAGGATTTACTGTGAATGTTGACAGATCATAGCTGTTATAAATGAAATGAGTTCCTTATGTTTGAATCCTTTCAAAAGCAAGGTGGTGAAAATTGTCTTACATTGTTTTACCAAAGCTAAGTATATTTCAGCACTGATGGCTCACACTTATAATCCAAGCTACTCGAGAGGCTGAGATCTGAGGATCATGTTCAAAGAAAAGTTCGTGTGACTCTTTTTTTGGACATTCATGGGGCTTGAACTTTGGGCCTGGGCGCTATCCTTGAAGCTCTTTTTGTGTTTTTTGTTTTTGTTTTGTTTTGTTTTTTTAAATAAGAGGCTAATGAACTTTTCCTGCTTGGGCTAGCTTTGAACCATGATCCTCAGGTTTGAACCATGACCCTCCTGAGTAGCTAAGATTACAGGAGTGAATCACTAGCACCTGGCTTATGAGACTCTTATATCCCATTATTAACCAGAAAGAAGCTGAAAATGGAGTTGTAGCTCAAGTGGTAGAGCGCCATCCTTGAGCAAATGAGAGCATGCTGCCCTGAGTTCAGGCCCCATTACCGCCATGTAGCTTGTAAGGTATGATGTGAGGAGAACTCTCTGGAAAGAATGCTTCAAGCTGGGTGCCTATGGCTCACGCCTGTAATCCTAGCTACTCAGGAGGCTGAGATCTGAGGATTGCAGTTCAAAGCCAGCCCAGCAGGAAACTCCATGAGACTCTTATCTCCAATAAAACCACCAGAAAACCGGAAGTGGTGACGTGGCTCAAGCGGTAGAGTGCTCGCCTTGAGCTAAAGAGCGCAGGGACAGCGCCCAAGCCCAGAGTTCAAGCCCCATGACCGACAAAAAAAAAAAAAAGAATACTTCAGGCTACAAAAGCCCCAGATGGCCTGAACCGGGGGCAGAGGGCAAGATGGAAGACATTTTAGGATCTGAGCCTAGAGCTTAAAGATGGAGGTGAAGAGGTGTCTTGGGAAGAGAATGTGGCCTGGCTAGCAGCCTTGCCTTCTGCCCACAGCCCTCATCTTCGACGGCAGCACCAACCCTGCCCACCCCAAACACATTGGCAGCATCGACCCCAATTGCAACGTGTCCGAAGTGGTGAAAGGTGAGCCCACAGAGTCCCAAGAGCTCAGTGGATGGGGCAATGGCCCCCTGGGCATTCTTACCTCCTGGTGAGAACCAGTATCAGTGCCAACAGGCCTGCCTGCTTAGTCAGCTGAATGGCCCCATCTTTTGTCAGATGCCTATGACATGGCCAAGCTCCTGTGTGACAAGTATTACATGGCCTCACCTGACCTGGAGATCCAAGAAGTCAATGGTGAGCAAGTGACACATGCGTGTGCGTGCGCACGTGTGTGTGTGTGTGTGTGTGTGTGTGTGTGTGTGTGTGTGTGTGTGTATCAGGGAAGGTTGGGGACATGAGAAAACAGGTAAGATGGGAGTCAGGTCATGGACTTCTATCTGGAGAGGGAGAGACTACGGTATTATTACTCATTCTGTAGCTATGGAGTGTTTGGAAACAAGACTATATGTAAACAAGACTGGCAAGGTCCTTGTTCTCACTGAGCTTACATTCTGGGTTCTGAGCTGTTTGGGGAATGGAGTATTTAACTAATGAACAAATAAATACACATGGTGACAGGAAGAAAATAAAATGGAGTAGTAAGAAGACAGAGACCAGGAGGAGATGATATCAGTAGGATATCAATTTGGCTGCATCCCCTAAGCCCAATCGTTAGTGGCTTTGGTGGTTTTTGGGTGGCTAACCGCAGAGCTGGAGCAAGGAAGGAGGCTGTACCAGGACTGAACACATGGCTTCCATGGGTCACTAGCTGCCCCAGTGCAGAGGAAGCTGGGGGGTTAGTTTCTGGCTGGGCATCCATGTGCTCAGGTATAGCTTTAGGAAGAACTGTCCATTCCTAATAGGAGAAGGGGGAATGTCTTCAGGGGGTCCACATCTGGATAAGGTTATAGAGGTGACTTGTCAACAGTTTCTCATCTTGGCCTTGACTCCCACAGCTGCCAATACCACCCAGCCCATTCACATGGTCTACGTCCCCTCCCACCTCTACCATATGCTCTTCGAACTCTTTAAGGTAAGGAGAGCAGGGTGGCCCTTTGTGGGGGCATCATTAGGGCTTGTCTGTCAGTCAGCTTGTGCCTCATTCTCTTCCCCAGAATGCCATGCGGGCCACGGTGGAAAGCCACGAGTCCAGCCTCACTCTCCCTCCTATCAAGATTATGGTGGCCTTGGGTGAGGAAGATCTATCAATCAAAGTATGTGGCCCTTGGCCTTGCCAGTGGGGAATACCATGGGAAGATCGGGGGTGTCAGAGTTGGGGGAGAGGGTGGAAAACTAAGCTTTGAGGGCCCCTGACATGTCCCCTTTCCCCCAGATGAGTGACCGAGGTGGGGGTGTCCCCTTGAGGAAGATTGAGCGGCTCTTCAGTTATATGTACTCCACAGCACCCACCCCCCAGCCTGGCACTGGGGGCACCCCGCTGGTGAGGCAGCTTCCTCTAGTCCCCACACACACGCTCCCGCTTGGCTTCCCTATCACCAAGCACGCTGCTCCTTGCACAGCTGTGTGGTAACAATCCCCTCTCCTGACCTGGGCCTCCTGTTCTCATTTCTCCCCTGCAGGTGCATGACCCCCTCCCTGCCAACCATCTGTTTGCCTTGCTGTCACCTTCCCTGAGTCTCTCTCTTGTTTTTGTTTCAAGTGCCAGCACCTCCTTGTCTGCTTGTCCTGCCCCCAGCCGGGAGGCAGAGCCAGGCCTCAGGTCCACCAGGGCAGAGCTCTCCCTGACTCCATGTTACCTGCACTGCCTGTCTTCCCTCAGAGGGGTCCCTTTTCCACCCTAGCTCCCCAGCCCTGGGCATGCCCTGCTCAGCACCCTTTGCTCACTGGATCCGTTTTGCAGTTCCTTCCCTTTGTCACCCTACCTTCCTTCCCCCTATAGGCTGGTTTTGGATACGGGCTCCCCATTTCCCGCCTCTATGCCAAGTACTTCCAGGGAGACCTACAGCTCTTCTCCATGGAGGGCTTTGGGACTGACGCTGTCATCTATCTTAAGGTGAGGGCCCCTGCTCACAGAGCCCACTGGAGGTGGGATTTGCTGCTGGTAGGTTCCTGGCCATCCCTCCATCCTCTCCTGATTCCAGCATTAGAGCAAAGCTATAGCTCCCTGACCAGTGAAACCTCAGCCCAGACATATACACTGTGATAGGGAATTGCAAGGGTCCATGATCCGTGATTAAGACCCTTCTTTTGGGGACTCGACCTGTTAGGCCTGGATGGAAAGGGCACGGAGAGGTCTTGTCATTCAGCTGAAAAAATAAGGCTATAGTAACCCTGATGAGGTCGCAGCCCAGCCTCTTCCCCTCCCTCCCTCCCTCCCTCCCTTCTTCCCCTTTTGAGACAGCAGCTTTCTGGATGGGCAGAAGCAGGACAAGAGTCAGATCCTTTCTTAGGTCTCCAGGCCTGGGTTAGTGGCTGAACCAGCATTAAGTGGGTGAGCTGACTCTGACTTGGGGTGGGTTGTGAGGGTGGACACCGGCCCAGCCCAGCCCATCTGGGAAAGGCTGGTCTGCTGAGGCGTGGGCAAGGCACGGGAAATGGGAGGGCTGACCATGGCACTCTTCAGGCCCTGTCCACAGACTCGGTGGAACGTCTACCTGTATACAACAAGTCTGCCTGGCGTCACTACCAGACCATCCAGGAAGCTGGCGACTGGTGTGTGCCCAGCACAGAGCCCAAGAACACATCCACATACCGGGTCAGCTAAGAGCCACGTCTCCCCCATACCTAAGAGGACAACTGCTCTCTCTGGGTCTAGCCACCAGGGTGATCCGGCCCATCCCCCAGGGCTGTATGGATCAGGAGTGGTTTTCCCTGATCACCAGCTCTCTGTGGAAATCATTGAGGTGACCAGTCTGTGGTGGTCCCTAAGTGCCAATCTGTCTTCAAGGAGACACCGGGCAGTCTCCCTGGGACCCTGTCTCTGTGGCAGTGCCTGTGGGCTGCAGATGGCTTCACCCTGGGGGAGCCCCAGAGACACTTCCCCACGACAGTCCTCTCAGACCAGTACTATTACTTTTCTGCCAGGAGTCCTGGTCCTCCTCACTGCCTGCACAGTCCTGGCCCCCCAAGTGGCTGTTCCTCTTGTCTTGTGCCCCCATCCCTTACGGCACACTGGCCCTGGTCCTTTGTCAGTATTGGGAAGGTTCAGAAGCCTTTGGACTTGGTGGGGCAAGGATGCATCCATGACTCCTGGTTTGGGACCTGGTTCTACAGCCTTTCCCTCCACCCTGGACATTAGGGTTGGGGCAGGGGTAAGGGTTGGGAAGTGGTTTCTACTCAAAGCCCACCCCAAAGGGAAGAACCAGGGAAGAACCAGAGATTGCCTGCTCCAGCCGTGGACCTTCAAATGACCTTGGCGATGTTTGTGAAGCCTCTCAAGCCCTTACCCAGCATGTCCTTTCAGGCACACCCTTATCTGCCCACTGGACACGCCCCCCAGTCCTGCCTGAGCTCTAGACCCCAGCGCCACTGTGCCTCACATGCGCTTGGGTGGCTTTCTTTCTAGGACTCTCTGTACATAGTCTTTTTTTTTAAAACCATGATTGCCCACCTTTTCCCTCAGCACACAGGGGGTTAAAGCCATGTGCTCCTCCCAGTGGCCATGATGGTGACAGTGACATCCACAGTAAAGAGGAGATGGAATGAGAACGGAGGCCTGGCTGCATTGCTGGGGGAGGGGACACACACACACACACACACACACACACACATCCATGCAGACCAAAGAACCCATGAGCAACATACTGAACTCAGGATACTGGTCCAGCTCGATATCTGTCCATATGACGACACCATCAGAACACCTGGAAGCCCAGGACCCAGTGACAGGCCTGAGCTTCAGTACACTTCAGGGCATGGCTTAGTTTCCAGGTTCCTGACCCACCCCTCAATCCACGCAGACAGAAGAGTCACTGGCAAGTCATAAGTGTTTATTGGAAGAAACCAAGGACCACCTCCCCCTATCACATGCAGGGGGGCACCCACTTAGCTCCTGATGGCTTCCAGGACCCAGGTGCCTGCAGCCCCTCAGCCAGGCTTAGATTGTGCCAGTGCCCCTACACCTCAGTTTCCCTCAGAAGTCTTTCTCACAGCACAGATGGCAGAGGGCAGAAAGTGCTGGTCCTAGGGACAGGACTCTGGCCCTAAGCCGCAGAGCTGGGTAGGAGTCAAGAGTCGGCATGCACTGTCCTGCCCACCCTACCAGGCCACTGGGAAAGTGGAGCCGTTCTGACCACAGAGCCTATTGCTCACTCTGGCCAGTTCCCCAGAAGCTGGACCAGCCACTGGCCAGCATGGATACCTGGATTTTGTCTCTGGACATTTCCTAAAAAAGACAGATAGTATCCAAAGCTGCTGGTAGATTCTACCCCCACCTAAGGCTGACCTGGCTCTCCTTGCAGTCCAGCAAACCAGAGCCCCTGTGGTTTGCCCATTCTGGAGCCCACAGAGGCCCTGATGATGGACTCTTCTGATCCAGCAGCTTCCAGGCAGCTTCTATCTGGCTGGAGTCACTAGTTCACTGTTGGGACATTGGGGATGGGGGAGGAGTTCTCTGTCCCCAATGAGCCCAGGTGCCCTCTGGCTGGGTCCTGGATCAGAGAATGGGTCAAAGACCCACTGTAGGAGGGGCAGTGGGTGGCTACCATCCCAACCCATTGAGACCCACAGGGCAGGAAAGGAGAAGAGGTTTCCCCTCCCCTCCCTTCTATTCCCACAGCCCTTGCAGAAGCTGGACCTGCCCCACACCACACTCTATCCTCCTGTTAGGGGGTTGGCTGGGAATCTACCCTGAGTGCAACTTGCTGTAGTGCCCGCCAATCTCCCTGTTAGCAGAATAGCTTCCCCCCGCCCCGCCCAGTCATCTCAGAGCTGGAGAGACACAGCTCTGTCCTCCTACCCCTGCTGAGATGCCCAGCCTGAAGACCCTGGCCTGCCACAGGGCCTCTGGGAGGAAGGCAGGCATGCAGCCGGCTCGCTTGCTGCCCTGCACCACCCTGGCCCAAGGATGTCAGCCTAATCCAGAATCCTCAGGGTTCCTGGACTTGTTTCAGCCCTGGGCTCTGCCCTTTTCCTTCATCTGCCTCCCCCTGGAACTGTGCCAAACAAGTCCTCAAAATCGAGTATATTATTGGGCCCTCTCCCTGGGGTCTCCCACCCCAGGGCTTCTAGGTCCACACAGGGTGAGAGGGTATAGCCTCCCCCTCCCCCAAGAGCAAGAAGCCAGGCCACCCCAGGCCTGGTGTCCAGGCCCCGCCTCCCCGGTGAGGCCTGTGGTCACTGGCGGCTGCCCACACCCAGGTGCCAATGCCGCCCTGCCACCCCTAGCTCTTCTTGGCCTCTTGCTCGCGGCGCCGCAGCTTCTCTCGCTGCCGAGCAGCCTTCTCCTGGGCCTTGCGTTCCTTCTCAGCTGCGGCCGCCAGCTCCTTCAGCTTCCGCTTCACTAGTGCCCGGTCATGCGAGTTGCTGAGCCCCAGGCTCTGAGAAGAAATCCAGGGTGATGGAGAGAATCCCGGAAACATCAGAGAGGGCCACCCCAAGCCCCAGGCCCTTGCTGCCCCATGTGTGTTCCCTGGGACCCCTCCCTGAGGGGTGGCCTCCACTTCCCACCTTGACTTGCCCAGTGATTGGAGCCCTTGAGCAAGAACCCAGATTTCAAGCCATTGGCAGACCTGGGGACTAGATACCAGGACATTTACCCTGTCCTTGGCTCCCATACCCCCACTCTAGAATTCAGTGTTGGCATGACCCTTGCTCAAGGTCAAATGGCTCATCAGTGGTTGAGGACCCTCCTCATGTCCAGAGAGTTCCTGGGGGACTCTTTACAGATCAGAAATGCCTCCATCGGTGTCGGTAGCTACTTCTCTCCCCCTAAGACACCACTGTCACCAGGCTGAGACTGAGGGTTGGGTTGAACAGAGCCGGTGGGGAGAGTTTCCTGTGTCACCAGCACCCAAGGTTGAGTGACAGCCCAAAGAACAAGGTCAGCTTGAATACTTGAGCTAAAGCTAGAAGATCAAACTAAAGCGCTGGGTTTGTGTCTCATGTCAGACTGGGGTTCCCTGCTAGAGTACAAAGATTAGACAAGGGCCTGGCCCAGAGGTCTGTGCAGTGGCTGGACAGGAAGTTTGAAGGTCAGCCTGGGAATGTGAGCTGAGGGTCAAAGGTGAGCATGAGAGGTTGAAGGTTGCCCAGATCTCTGGCTGACCCTTGCACACTGACCTACCTTCAGCTTGCTTCCATCCAGCTGCAGCAGCTGTGGCCCATCGACCTGGCGGGCAGCAAACTCAGCAGCATACTGCTCTAGGTTGAGGCTGTGCAGCCACTGGCCCACCTGCTGGCTGTTCCAGTGCTGGACAGAGGAGAGGGGCTCATCCAGGAACTGGGGCAGAGACCAGCAACCAGTGAGTAAGGGGCTTAGCCTCTGGCCGACACACCCAGGAAAGCCTGAGTCGGGGTCCCGGGGGCAGGTGGCTAGCCTTGCTCACCTCGTCTGAGGACTGGGACAGTGTGTGGTAGGGGTAGGAACACTTAGCCTCCTGTCGAGGACCGCTGGGGATCTTAGGGCTGCTGCTGGGGGGCGTGGAATCATCGCTCAGGGTGGATTCCTAGACAGAAAAGGATGTGCACAATGAGGAGTGAATTCACCCCCCAAACAAGGGAGATACACACCCCCAAACCCACGTCTGGGAGCCAGGAGTTGGGCAGGTGAAGACACAGGCTGTGGTGGCTTGTGCAAAGCATCAAGACCCGAGGCTTCTGGGAGGGAGGCAGTCACCTGAGCCACACAGAACAGCAGGAATGGAGGTCTCCAGCTATGTGGTGCTTCCTAAAAGCAGCCCATCAGTGTTCCCTCAAGCTGGATCAGATGTACTCAGAACATGCCACCCCCAGCCTCTTGTGTCTTAGCTAATGGGGTACCCCTACTGGACTCTCAGAAACATCACACCACTAAGCAGGTAGCCCAGCTCCTCACATGTGTGACAGAACTGAGCCAGGAAGAACAGTTGGCAGGAAGGGCAGCCTCAGAGAGAGTAACTAGTAGGGCAATAGTGGTTGGTAGATGAGTGTGAACGAAGGAAGCGATGAATGAGTCTCCCAGAGTCCAATGCAAATGCAGGAGCCGTGGAACGAATGGAGTCAGGGTGGAAGGAATAATAGGTCACCACTGACTCTGTGGATGGACAAGTGGAATCCAGGAAGGCCTGGATTCCCCAGCTTGAACTAGGATGCCCCCTGACTCTTGCGGGCCCGTTTGAGGCAAGCCAAGTCCTGCGCTTACCTGGGAAGCTGACTTCTTAGGGCTAAAGCCCTCATGTTTGGGAGAGCAGGTTGGGGAGGTGGTGCTGCCTGAAGATGCTGAACCCTTGCCGCTGTCTGTGAACCAGGAAAAGGGCAGGAATGGGGAGCCTCCGGACCTGCCAGACCCCTCTACCGACTCCCTGTGGAGAGATCATAGATGTGGGTGCCAGGGGAAATCAGGAGTTGGAGATGGGGGTCATGGGTACCTCTCACCTGCTACCCATGGACAGGCGGTTGCTGCCCTTCTCCTTCCGGCTCTTGCCAGTGGATGCCCGGCGGAGAGTGACCCTGTGGAGAGAGCAGGAGGAGTAGGAGCCCACTGTGTTTCCCATACCCCAACAGCACCATGTGCTGACCCCTCACTCACTCACCCCAGGTCCAGGAACTTCCGGCGAGTCTTCTTATCCAGGCCAATGGTGGGGCTGGCCGGCTCAGGAGGGCTAGCATCTCGGCTGTCATCTTTCAGGAGAGAGGGAAGGAGACAGGCTGGGTGCCGGCTTGCTGCCTCTTTCTGGTGTCAATGCAACTGATAGAAATCCTCTTGATATAGAACCCTGCAAGCTAGCTCTGGTGGCGCTCCCTAGGTGTGAGAGCTAGGATAAGTTCATCTTACCTGCCCAAGCTTCTGCATTTCAAATATAGGCATAATCTTGCCATTCCATGGTACCTAATGAAATGCCTTTTGCAAACTGTGAGGCACTTAGAACACTGCTATTCACTGTTACTTTTATCCAACTTGGAATCAGCTTTCCAATCTTGATGTAAATGTCACTTCCTCAGAGAAGCCTTCCAGGATGCTCCCAACTAAAGGTACTCTGACAAAGGCTCTTCTGCCACCTGTGCGCATTTCCTGCATGACTTTTATTACAGCTTGTTACTATACATGCAATTAAAAGGTGATTTAGTCCCCTCCCCCCAACTATAGAGAACAAGGGCGGACTGCCTCTATTTTCCCTGTTTACATCCTAAGGAGCAGCAGAGTCTGGCACATAGTAAGCTCTCCTTAAATGAATGATGGATCCCTGGTGTTCCTTTCTCCCCATCTCCCAGCATCTATTCTACCTCCTCCCCCCCCCCCCCCACCCACTCCCGCAGGCCCAGCCACGCGTTGGTATTGACCAGGGATCACTGCAGTTCCGAATCTCACCAGCAGGGGGTGGTCGCTCTCACCTTCGCTGTGCGGCTCTGCGCGCGGGTGGCGGCGCACGAAGCTGGGCGAGCTGTCCGAGGAGGGCGCGGAGCGCGGCGGAGAGCTGGAGGCGGCGGCCAGGCCCTCGTGGGAGGTGGCATTGTGCAGGGGTCGGTAGCGGGTGCGCGGCGAGGGCGGCGGCTCGTCCTCGTCTAGGCTGCGACGCAGCCCGGGAGGCTCCAGGCAGAAGGAGCCCCCGGCGGGGGAACCCGGGCCCGAGTGCAAAGGCGAGCGCAGGCGGTGCAGGGGACTCCCACAGCCATCGGTCACCTGGGAGAGGGTCAGCCGCTTACGGAGAACGCTCCTCCTCCCTTCCCAAGGGCAAGGGGCTGCTTCACCCCATCCAAGGTGCAGGAGTCACCCCCCACCCCCCCACCCCGGGGATCCCAATTACACAAGGAGCTTTGACTCAGGAACACCAGGAGACTCAAGAGAGGGCCTGTCTGCCTCCTTCACTTGCTAACAATGGGGTAATTACTGAGCCCATCTATAAGTTGGTGTGTGTGTGTGTGTGTGTGTGTGTGTGTGCTCCTGAGACCTGAACTTTAGTGCTGACAGACAGCACTCTACCAATGCAGCCACAGCTCAATTCTGACTTTTAGGTGGGTAATTGGAGATAAGAATCTCACAGACTTTCCAGCCTAGGCTGGCTTGGAACTGTGATTCTCAGATCTCAGCCTCCTGGGATTACAGGCGTGAGCTACCTGTACCCAGCTAGCCTTGCACTTTTTTGATTGGCTTGTTTGGCTCATGACTGGAGCTCTCCCACTTGTGCCAGGCCTCCAGTCTGGATAGCCAACTCAGAAGTGAACTGCTGCTGATCATTGTGGCATCACTGACATTTGTCTAGGGGTAGAGGCTTCCCTGAAGGGCTGGTACAACAGGGTGTGTTGTTAGGTGTGTGTTGCCCCAACCTTGCCTCCAGGGCCATCAGAGCCTTCACCATCCTCAGCAGAGCTGGCACTGTCCCGAAGCCTGGAGCGGGAGGGCCGGTGTCTCCGGCCCTTGGCCAGCAGCTGGGCCCGGGCCTTGTGTAAACTGCTGTCCAGTCTGGCGGTCTCTGGCACAGCCAAGTCTAGGTCTGTGAAAAAAAGACCAGACTCATGAGGGGAGGGGGTGAGCCCAGAAACTCCCCTTAAGTGGCCACCTGCACTCCACCCCATTCAGTCAGTACTTGTGAGTGCTGGACACTTTGAGGTCAGTGAGGGTCATGGACACAGCGCAGTGTCTGAGCCCTCAAGTGGGCACAGCACCAACGAGGCCTGTGTAGAGAGCTCAGAAGAGGTTCAGTTGGGTCGTAAGGCCTGAGTATGAGTCTGCAAGTGATGCAGTGGACAAAACTAGGAGTGCTAGAAGTAGGGAGACAGGGATGGCGCCTCCAGGATGGAAGGTGGTAGTGCTGTGGAAGACGAGAGATGAAAAGCATCCATGGGTCCAGGTACACATTCACCTGGGGAGAGGAAGTGACAAAAGCAATGACGCACACAGAGGCACACGTTACAGCTGAGCAAACAGAGGCTCACAGAAGTCATCTGAAGCCATTGGCTAGAAATAGTCTGAGATTTGAGACTGGCTTAGTCTGGATCCAGAAATGAAGCCTGCTGAGGATGTCTTGCTGCGCCAAGTTCATGGTTGACTCCGGTAAAATAGCATGACTTAAGGCCTGTATTTGAAGAACACAGGGACTTCTGCAAGCCAGTGACAGTGGTAGGAAAGAAGGCCTCGCAGGCCTCAGAGTCCTGGGGTCCGTGACTCTAAGCTAGGCCCTGCACGTAGACCTGGACAGAGTGGATGAACCCCTTGGATTGTGCATAGAAATGCACAATGGTGCATGGTTATAATTCCACTTTTCCTGTGTCCATCTGGGAATGAAGCCACATTCTATACTGGCCTTGACTTTTTTTTTTTTAATCAGCCTCAGGATGGGTAAAGACCTCCCTGCCCAAGGCCTTCTCAGGATCTCCAGGACATCTATTCCATCCCTCAAACCCACCCTTTCTTCCCTGTTCTCTTATCTGTAGACATCCCAGATGTCACCTCTGACTTAGTGACCATGTGTCTGTCTCCAGGCCTGCTGCCTCCCTTGAATTCCAAGCCCAGACACTCGGGCACCTATCAGGAAACATGTATCAAAGGTCCCTAGACACCTCAAACAGCCCACCAACACAAACCCATCGCCTTGTCTCAAACAGGCTTCTCCTCTCTTCCCTGGCTCTGTCAGATACTGCTGAGCTATTCTCCTCTCTCAGACCTCGACCCTTTGGCAATTCACGTGTCCATCTCCTTGAAAGACACCTCCACCAAACCAGACTGAGCTCTTGACCTCTCCCTCAGCCCAAGCTGCTGGTTAATGGCAGCTCCATCTTTTGTGTTACTCAGGTCAAACCTCTGGGTCATCCTTTACTTCTTTCCCTCCCATCCTACAAACGCATCCAGCCACAACTCCCCTTAGCTTTACTTTCAAGCTAGATCTAAATGTACTGAAATTGATGGCAAAGTGACATGATGTTTGAATTAAGTTCAAAACAACCCAAGATGTCAGGTGGCTGAGATCTGTGGAGTGAGGTTTGAAGCCAGCCTGGGCGGAGAAGTCCATGACTCTTATCTCCAATTAACCACCAAAAAAGCTGCAAGTGGAGGTGTGGTAGAGAAAGTAGGCTTTGAGAAAAAGAAAACTCAGGGACAGTGCCCAGGGCTTGAGTTCAAGCCCCAGGACAAGTGCCCACATGCAACTGGGAGAGAAGGAGGGAGGGAGGGAGGGAGAGAGGGAGGGAGGGAGAGAGAGAGAGAGAGAGAGAGAGGGAGAGGGAGAGGGAGAATAAGTATGTAGAGGTGAGAAGAGCTGGAGGACCAGGGAGATCTTACAGCTCCTTCATCTAGATCACCATCATCTCCTGCTTAGATTACAAAGAGCCTCCTAGCTGGCCTCCTTCCTCCTCCCTCCCCACTTAGTCTATTTTTCTCAACTCAGCAGCCAGAGTGAGCCTAATGCAACATGACAGCTCTGTTACTCCACTGCTCACAACCCTCAGGTGACTTCCGTCTCCTGCAGAGCAAGAGCCAAGCTTTTCCCAGTGGTCTTCCAGGTTCACCTCCCTGAGCTTCTGCTTCTCCCTCCAGCCACCCTGCTTCCACTTCCACAGGGGCCCAGCATCTCAGGATCTTTGTCCTTCTTCTGTTTTATTCCTAGGAGGCTCCCTCCACCGACTTCTGCATGTTTTTCTCCCTCACTTCTTTCAGGCCTTTGCTCCAATGCTTTCTTTCCCCAAGGCCCTCCCTGGCTATTTTAGTTTATTTTGTGCTGGTCCTGGGCTTGAGCATAGAGAGAGGGCTTGGGTGCTGTCCCTTAGCTTGTGACTGGGCTTGGTGAAAAGAAGATAGATCCAGAGATGCAGTGGTGGTGGTCCAGGGGGAGCAGCTATGGATGGGAGGGGAAACTGTAGTCAGAGGACTGCCCAGGTATGACTTGTCCTTTCTGGGTCTCCTCTGCACCTGCCTCCCATGTGGTATGTACAGCCCCTTAGTGCTGGGTGAAGGGGTGGGGAGGTTCTTCCCAGCCCCTTGGCCTGGCATCTCCAGATGCTACCTGAAAGCAGCAAGTCCAGAACTGCTTCACAGAGGAGCAGACAGCTTTCACTGTTGAGCTCTGGCTGTGCCAGCGATGCTCTAAGTGCCCCCACCTTACTCGTTCATTTAAATTCCTCACACCCTACAGGAAGGGACTTGGGGAATCTCCAGGGCACAGAGCTGGCAAGAGCAGGCCGGGCTTACAGGCAGGCAGTCTGGCTCGCTTATAACCACCAGACATGCTACACCCTTCCTGAGGCAAAGATCGGAGCGACATTGAATCTACTCCCTCATTTTATGGGCAGAGAAACCAATCTCAGAGAAGAAAGGTTTTGCCTAGGGTGGTCTGCTGCCTCCAGGACCGCATTCTTGCTTTCTCTACCCTTCTGTCATTCATCTAGTCTGTGCCAGAGAGGGAGAGGGACCCTTTACTCCTTCAGCCACCTGGGTACCACCCATGGTCTAGAGGGCAAAAGGACTCCCAAAAGACTGGGGTTTCAAGACAAGGTGGAGCCAGCCAATCCTGGGTCCCTTGGTCTACTAGACCCTTCGTCTTATCTTTTCCCTTTCATCTTCTCTCTTGCCTATCCCCTCTTTCTCTCCCTCTGGGCTCTGGGCAGTGGGAGTCATGAATATTTAATTGCCTTTCTCATTGGAAGCAGGCCAGGCAAGGCCCGGCTACCTCAGCACTGAGGAAAACAAGAAGGGATCTGTGAGGAGCAGAGGTAGGGAGGTAGGAACAGTGGAAGCCCCAGAAAGGGAAAGGACCAAGGATTAAGCTGGAGCCAAACTCAAAGACCAAGGCTCAGAGGAGCTTCAGTGGGGAATGGTGGGGAGCAGTGTTGACCAGAAGCAGGCAACAGCAGTTGTAGCATGATCACCAGTGGCAGTGGCAAGGAGGGAAAAGAGAGAGACAAGAGAAAAATCAGGGAGAAGCTGGAACCCTGGGCATTCCATGTAGAAAAGCCCTTCCAAGCTGTGCTTGCAAATGTGTCCTTCCTTCATCCAAATCCTCTTTTCTGCTCCAGAACCTGCTGTGAATTCTGGCTTGCAGCAGAGTTCTCTCTCCAAACAATGGCACAGGTGGCACACAGGCATGGCTGCCGGTGTGGGCTGAGAGGGACACAGAGGCTCTGGGCATGCATGCATGCAGAGCCAGTCGGTGAGATCTGGGGCACTTCTGCATGCGACTTGGAATTCCCATGTGTTACCTGGGCTGGAGTATGCTGGAGGTCACCGCACATGACTAAGTTCCAGCTCTGGCACTAATCTGCCATGCGGACTTTCAAGCAAGTCACTTTTGCACTCTGCACCCAACACTCCTGGTCAATTAAAGGGGCTTATTTCTTAGCTTTATTGTGAATATTAAAAACCTGGGAGATAAATGCACAGAAGATCTAGAGTACAGAGCGTAAGATGAACACTTAATAAACAAGGACCCTTGTTGGTATGGCAAGTCCACTTAGATAGCAGAAACCACCCACCCCCACCCCCACACACACTGAAGCTGGAAAATCCACCCTCCACCACTCAGTGGCTTGGGAGGAAGTGTTCCACAGCTGTATCTATTGCTAGAGAAAGAGTCACATAGAACTTACCAAAAACCTCATCTGCAGTTTCTCGGAGCTTTGAAGAAGCCATGACTCAAGAGAGCTGGGGAAGACAAGATGTGGAGAAAGAAAAAGAGACACTGGATAAGAGGTTCAAGTTGGTCAGGAAGGGAGCAAGCCAATGACTGCCAGCTCCTGGTCTACTGGCCCCTCCCATTCCCTTAAGACAGTCCCTCCTGCTCCTGAAAAGGAAGACATCTAAGGCCTTTTCCTTGACTGGGGGTGCTTGGAGCAGGCGCAGAAGGGCCTAGGCATAGTCAATCCAGGGTACAGTCACAGGTCACATCCTGCAAGCTGGTCCAAGCCAGCTGGTTGTTGCCCTCCCCTATTCCCTAGATTGTCTCAGGCCTTGCCATCATTAGCACCATTAGCATCTCATAAAAGCTTTTGATCATCATTAACTGTGCAACATCAAATCTAGAAGAAGTCATGGAGATTAATAAATCCAGTCCTCTTATTTTACAATCAGAGGATGGGGTGGCTGACACAAGACCACACAGTAAATTAGTGGAAAATACAGGATCAAAACTCAGGTTCTTTCATCCAGCTACCTATTTATTTTCCTACTCATTTTGCTTATCCAGCCATCCATGCATCCAATATCTACCTCACCCATCCAACAGCTACCACAATCCATACATCTGTCTGTCCATCCATCAGTCCATCCACTCATCTTTGCATTACCAATTCTCCATCCATCTTCTCTCTGTCATCCAATCCTGCCTCACCTCCACTCCCATCCTTGGGTTCCTCACCACCTGCCTTTTTAAACATGAGCTGTTCAGGAAGCTGGCAGCACTAGCAGGACCACTGTTCTAGACAGAATCACAGTTCTCACAGTTCTTGCCAGACTCACAGATGCAGGAGGGCATGAGGAGTTCTACCAAAAGAACAGTGGACATCCAACTCGGAAGCATCCAGTATGTTCCAGGAAGCAGTGTGGCAGACAAGATCTTTTTGTGGTGGGAGGAAGGATTTATGCAGCTAGAACAATCTGGGTTCCGCTCAGGGGCCACTAATAGATCGGGCCAGGAACACTGAATGGCTGAGACATAATCTTCATTTTTTTCTTCTGACACTGAGGTCAGAAGAAAGGAGAAAGGCAAGGCACTGGGCTTGATCATATACTTGACAGGTGTAGAAAAGCCAGGAATGCCTTCTAGCTTCTGTCATTACATCATCCCAGAGCAAGCTACAGGTTTTGGAATCTTAGTATCTCCACTTACAGACATGAAAGCTGAGGAATAGGAGCTAAGAGGCCGAAGTCTTTCTTGATCCTGGTCTCCTGCCTCTCAGCTGTGTCCTGAGGAATGATCTGTAGTTCCAGGAGTACTCATGAGTAAAGGACACTGCTGGAGGAAAGATGAGGTAGAGGGAGGGGAGCTGGCTCATACTGGCTAGGACTAGAAGAAACATTAAAACTCTCTCTATCCCAAACTCCAGGAATGCCTGGATCAATACAGGAATAGAGAGTGAGAATTCAGGGATGTCCCTTCAAGGATGTTCTTGCCATTCTTGAAGTCTAGGGACTAGAAGCCATGATCTAGAACATTCCTTCCTCAAGGGCCAGATGGGAGGAATGAGAAGTCTGGCCTTTAGACGAGCTGAATTCCCTCAATCACCAAATTTTATCTAGGACTCAGCTTCCACCCCCTTCAGGAAGTTGTTCTAGGTTGCCCTCTCTCTTCTCATTCGACTACACCATTTCTAAGTCCACCCTTCTCCAGCCCTTGGGAAATGGAGACAGACTTGTTTTTGCTTTTTGTTTTTTGTTTTTGTTGGTCGTGCGCCTGAACTCTGGGCCTGGGCACCGTGCCTCAGCTCCTCAGCTCAAGGCTAGCGTACTACCACTGGAGCCACAGCACCACTTCCAGCTTTTTCTGCTATGTGGTGCTGAGGAATCAAACCCAGGGCCTCATGCATGCAAGGCAAGCACTCTACCACTGAGCCACCTTCCCAACCCTGGAGACAGACTTTCAAAAATATGTATTTAATTGATTTCCTACTTGTATTTGACCTCCCCCACCTCAAATGGGAGCTTCTGAAAAAGTAGGACCATGAACTCTGTCAGACTAGGGACTCCTGTGTGTGTGCAAGTGTGTGTGTGTGTGTGTGTGTGTGTGTGATGGCTGGTGCTCTATCACTGGAGCTACACCTCCACTTCCAGCTTTTTGCTTGTTAGTAGGAGATAAGGGTCTTAGACTTCCCTGCTTAGGCTGACTACACACTGCTACCCTCAGATCTCAGCCTCCTGAGTGGCTAGGATTGCAGGCATCAGCCACTATTGCTGGCTTTGGACTAAGGACTCTTGCAGATGGAAGCTGCTTCTCCTAGAGAATAGAGGCTGTCTGCAGGGTGACTTCTCAGAGACACTGAGAATGGGGAGTCTGTAGGCTCTTTAGTGAAGGCCCAGAGTGAACTTGCATGGAGGATGGGTAGGGGATTCCAGCTCACATAATTTTCAGTCCATTCTGATTCAGCACAAACTACTTTCTCTTCCTCTCTTCATCTGGGGAGTGTCCCCCTACATTATCTGGTGGAGGAACTCTTGAGAGATGGGCTATGTAGAAGGTCACTTAGGCACCTGCCACCCGACATTCTCCTTTCAAACCTCAGCCTTGGAAAATTAAACAACCCCATCTCCTCCCCTATTCACACACACACACACACACACACACACACACACACACTTATAGATGTTCAGCCACATAATGACACAGGGTGGAAGAGGGTATCCCCTAGATACCCTCTAGGCTCCCCTGTCACCAGACCACTCCCATTGGCTACCAGTTCCTGGAGGAACTGTAATGACCTCTGACCCTTCTCTGGGAGAAAAGGAGGCAGGTGAACTCTGAGCTACCCGAGACCCCTGGGAAGAGAAAGAAAAAAGAAAGCTGCACAGCCTGGAGAGGAAGGGAGAGGGAGAGGAAGCAGCTACAGATATAGAGATTGTTGGTGTCCACAGGGGGCAGAGAAGAAAGAGCAAGCAAGGGCTGGCAGAGAATGGGGCCAGGGAAGGCAGCTGGCAGCTTGAGTGTGGCCCACGAGTGGGGTCCTAAGAGAAGAGAGAGAACCCCAAGAAGGAGGCCCAAGGAGAAGAGAGAGAGAGAGAGAGAGTTGAAACTGGAGAAGGTGGGGAAGGGCTGGATCCAGGCTGGAGTGCCCAAAGCAGTGGAACTGGGAGGAGGGGTCTCTGCCCCTCCCATTTCTGCCAGTCTTCATCCCCATCTCTGGGCTTGGGGCTGTCCACAGGAGTCCACAGCCCCCCCCCCAAAGGACTTCGGAAAATGGGAGTTGGGGACGGAGCACCCCTTCCAGAGCTAGGCTCCTCTCCAAGCCTAGCGATGGCCAGCTCCGATCCAACCCATCAATCCAACTGCTGGCCTGGCTTGAAGGAGTTAAATCTCTCCCCCTCCCCCACACACACTATTTTTTTTAAAAAAATTAATGTCCCCAGGCGGGAGGGAGGGGATTAGGGACACAAATCCTACCTCTACCCCCTCCCCTTGACAGCCCAGTTCCCTGCGGTCCCCCTAGGGATAGGGGAAGAAAGACCCCGGTAGCCAGGACCCCAATGGGGGTCCTGCTGGGGTCCGGCCGGCCGCGAGCCCAGCGTCCTCGCTCGCGCTTCCCGGCCCACCCCAAGGGGTCCGGGCCCTTACCTCTAGCCTCGGTCATCTTCAGCATCCGGCGCTCCGGGCACCCCTTAGGCCCATGCTGCTCCCGGCGGGGGCGGCGACAGAGGGGTGTGTATGTGTGTGGGGGGGTCGTCACCCCGGTCGCGGGGGGCTCCGGGTTGGCTCCAGCCGCTCCATCCCGGGGACGGGGCGGGGGTCGGCGGGGAGGATCGGGGAGCGGAAGGCAGTGGAGAGTCGGGGGCGGGTGAGGAGCACCGAGGAGAAGGTTTGCGGGAAGCCGGAGGCGCGGGCGGGGCTGGACCTGGAGACCTGACGGGAGGATGCTCGGTGCGCGCGCGCGTGTGCGTGTGCGCGCGTGTGTACGTGTGTGTGTGTGTGTGTGTGTGTGTGTGGAGAGAGCGAGAGAGAGAGGGAGAGAGAGAGAGAGAGAAGAGAGAGGGAGAGGGAGAGATGGGCGGGCGCCCCCGCGCCGCCCCCAGGCCGGGCCTCGCGGGTCCTCACTGCCAGGCCGCCGGGTGCACGGTCGCCTTGGCCGGCTCCGTGGGGGTTCCTGGGGCCGAGGCGACGCGGGGGGCGGGGGGCGCGTGGCGGGGAGGCGGGAGCCCGGGAGACAAAGAGCGGGGGGGGGGGGGGGGAGGAGGGAGGGGCGGAGGCGGCGAGGACCGAGGGGCGGAGGCAGCGGGCGCTGCGGCGGGCCGGGGGTTCCTAGCGGTGGGGCAAAGCGGCGCACCGGAGACTGCGCACCCGGAGGGGCCGGGGTGCGGGAGGGGTCGGGGAGGCTGCCCTGCCTGGAGACCTGCAGGGCTCCCGCCTCCTCTGCAGGGTCTGTGAGAGCTCCCGATTCCCTCATGCATTCATTCAACCAACATCCATCCACCAAGCAGCCGGCCTGGGTCCCGAGGCTAAGGAGCATCGTGGTGAACCGAATCGATCCGACCTGGGCCCTGGGCGCTCACTGTACAGTCAAGGCACAGCCAAGTGGGGGAGGATTTGCCTTAGGGGCTGGGTTTCACAGAGCACCCCTTCAGCCACCTGGTTAGGCTTGGGGTAGGGGGCAAGGAGGAATCCTGTAGGCCAGGGAAGGGGAGATGTGGGTTTGGGAATGTGTGGACAAGAGGGGAAGATGAGCTGAGGCCCCCTCCCCCACACACCTGCAGCTTATTCTACTAGCAAGGAAAAAATAGAGCAGGGAAAAGCTCTTATCTGATCATAATTGAGGAAGAACCACTGGGCTTCTCCATGGAGAAAGGATGGCCAAAGGGCAGGCTACAGGGGAGCCAGAACTGGGCACTCCTTTAGGAGGCTGGGAATGTGGCTTAGTGGTAGAGTGTTTGCCTTGCATGCATGAAGCCCTGGGTTCCTCAGTACCACATAGACAGAAAAAGCAGGAAGTGGCGCTGAGGCTCAAGTGGTAGAGTGCTAACTTTGAGCAAAAACAAGCTCAGGGACAGTGTTCAGGCCCAGAGTTCAAGCCCCAGGACTGGTTAAAAAAAAAAAAAAAAAAAAAGGCTGTGGAGAGATTCCATGCTAAGAATTGAAGAAATGGATTTGGGGCCAAGGGGACAAAGAATTAAGGCAGGAGAAGAGGTCTAGGAAAAGCCTAGGAGTCTTAGTTGAAGACTGGGAGCCCTGGGGCTGGAGCTAAGGATAAGAACTGATGAGCACAGACTTGGACAGGGTAAGCAGGAGGAGGCAGTGGCAGGCCAGCCAAGGGGAATAATGTAATCAACAATAACTAGCTACCATAAGCAGGAGGCCATATCAAACACTGGGCAACTCTAGGGTATTTAATGTCACCTCAAAATAAGTATATAGCATGAAGCAGGCATTTCTATTGCCTACCATAGAAGATAGATAGGGAAGGAAAGTGGTTTGTTCAAGTGCAAATGGTAATGCTGGGGGAAGAGACCAGAGCTCAGGGAGGGGTGAAGAGGCTGGAGGGAGAAAACTCTCCAATGCTCACAGGGCCTGTGGGCTGCCACATGTTGTGGTAGTTTTATCCTGGGACTGTGGGGAACAGAATCAATACCCTTTAGGGGTTGAGGACATTCTAAGGGATCTGTGGGAACTGAGGGTTGGGTTCCTCTCTCTGTGTCTTCAGAATCTGGCAGTGGCAGTGTGCTGGCTAGATTGTAGAGACCATGGTAGGAGATGAGATCTGGGTGGTAAGCTAGAGTTGGGGATTGATCAGTCCCTGTATAGACCCCAAAGGGGTAGGGTACTGGGAAATAAGATCAATGCTGGGTGGGGACATTCAGCAGGAGGATGCTAGCTGGGTGGCTGGACTTGGGAGTTTCCTTGTCCACTGCATTAAAATCCCAACATTCCAGTGTTGGGATTTTAACAAATGTACTCAAGCTCCCAAGTTTGAGCAATTTTTGGGCTGTTGATGGGTAGGGGGTGGTGATTGAAGAGCTAAGGTGACAAGCCTCCCATATAACTGCCCACAGCCACTTGATACAGGCCTGAGAGACTTCCAGCAAATCACACACAATGCTCCCAACCACAGAACACACACCCCACCCCCATTTTAGAACATACCTAATACACAGATGGAGTTACATGACTTCACCCTGGATGCTGACAACTCTCAAATCTGCCTCCAAACCAAAAAAGGTCCAGCCACTCTTACTTTTAGGATTTCTTAGAAAGATTTCCTAATATCTCTATCCTGGACTCTCCTGTTTTGGTGGCCCATAAGCACAGGATTTGAACACTGAGGGCTTCTCAAGTGTTCCAAGGACAACCTAATTGGAGATGCTCTGAGAGGCATGGTCACCATCCCTAGGTTCTAGGTGAGTGTCAGATGGGTGGCAAGATACTACATGGCCCTGAGGTGTAGAACTAGGACTGCTGAGGGTAGTTATGGAAAGGTAGAATTTAAATTTGACATGGGAGCCATGATGGAGCCATCCTCGGGGTGTGGCTGCCTCAATAGTTCTGAGACTAATCATCTTGGATGTTGTCATGGGTATAAGGCGACCCTGAAGGGCCTTGAAATAGGGGCCTCCATTCCTTAGAGCAAAGGGAGGGAAAGGTGATTCTCCCTTCGGACCGGACCACGGGGGCACGTGGCTGCACCGGGAGGTGCAGGGGCTGCCGCCTCCGACCCCAGGAAACTTTTGGTCCACCCGATACATCAAGGGAATCCTCTGTAGTCATCCACTGGGTTCCCAACAGAGAGACTTGGGACTCCATTCACGACACCCACGCCCTCCACTAGGGGACTTGCGAGAGGAATGTGAGGGGCTGAAAACCTGCCTAGACGCCCCAGGAGGACGGAGAGAAAGTATGGGTGCCGAGGGCGCAGTGTTAGCAGAGAAGCCGCGACGCGGGAAGCGTGCAACGATCTTCGGGTCCGAGGGCGGTGACGAGGGGCCGCAGCATCCCGTCCCCACCACGGCAAATCAAGAGACCAGGCAGCGAGGCTCTGGGGGCTGCTTTTATGGGGACGACCTGACAGAGGGCATGGTCCGTACAAAACCGGGAACAATACATACATATATATATATATATTATATACAAAGACGGGGGTCCTCTTAAGGGCGGGATAGGGGCGCCGCAGGCCCGAGAAACCGGAAGCGCCCGGTGGCCCCGCCCACCCGGCTCCTCCCCCTCCATCTGCCAGGGCGAAGTGCAGGGCCGGGCACTGGAGAGTCAGCTCTTTCCGGAGGCGGGTGCGGGCGGGCGGGGCGGGGAGAAATACTGATCAATGGCACCGCCTATTTACAGGGGACAAAAAGCTGAAACAGATGGAACGGAGTTTTTTTTTTTTCAAAAAAAAAAAAAAAAGAACAAAAGCCCTGGCTTGGGGCAGGGGCATGAGGAAGTGGCAAATGTGATGGATTTTGAAAGGTGGGGGGGAGGTCTCACCTCCCTTGGTCCAAGCCCCAATTTGGGGTTAAAGTGGGGAGACAGAGTCAATTTCACTTAGAAAGCAGACTGCCAGTAGGACAGCCCTGGTCTCCAAAAAGTTGAGTAGTAAAGTTTTGCCCTCCAGTCAAAACATGGGAAGAGTGCAGCGTGGGGAGAGGAGGCTGAGTCTCTGCCAAGTGAGTACAAGGCTTCCAGGGGTGGCCCTGGGCAGGGCGGGGCTCCCCAGCGAGAACCTTTGCCCTTGCTCTGCAGCCAGGCCCACTAAGCTGACCTCCCTCTCCACTGGCCTTCCCAGGCTTGGCCAAGAAACCAGGGCCCAGAGAGGCTGCAGAATAGTTCCAGGAGGAGGTTATGGCTATTTGGCACCTGGGAGAAGGGAGGCACGAGAAGTTGAGGGCTGCTGCCCTTTTCAGAAGAGCGGGGCTGGGGACCAGGTATCCTGGACTCTTCCTTTTTCTACTCTCAGTCCCCTTTTCCTGAAGGATGCATGAGAAATCAGTGCAGGGTCAGGCCCAGCCTCCTTGGGGGCTCTATCCCTCCCAGGATGGGGAACAGGTCTGGGAGGTGTTGAGCACCCCGCCTCCCCCCAAGCAGGAAGGTTAGAATGCAACAGACAGCACAATGATAGGGAAGAGGGAAGGGCCAAGAAGGTAGAACCTCAAGTCAAGAGGCCCAAGGGCTACCCAGAGCCCCATGGGCAGGGAGCAGCCTCCAGTTGGTGAGATGCTGGGAGAACCCCAGCCCCACTCCAGTCCAGAGACAAAGGCTGGAGGTTATAAAGTCTGGCAGTTTGGTCTGCAGGTCCTTGTGTCCATTCACCACCCAGGCCAGCCCTCGGCTTCCTTCAGCCTCTATGCCTCAGCCCCATGGGGCAACGAGGCCACCCTTCCAGCCACCACTGACTACCCGGGCCACCATAAAGGGGCCTGTGATATGGGCCCTCTGGTCCCTGAAGCTGGGGGAGGTGGGGTGGAGGAGTTGGGGAGTCGGGGCACCTGTCCCCAGGCTGGTAAGGGGTGGGGTGGGGTACTGAGGACTGGGAACAAGGATAGTGGGAATTATTATTGTCCTGTCAAGGAATGATTCCTGTTAAGTAGAATTGGAATTCCTCAGTGTTTGTAGGTTTCCTTCCAGTTCTGAGATCTGGAAAACAAAGATGAAGAGGGGGTTAGGCCCAGCCCCTTTATGCCCTGATGAGGGTATGACCCTCATGGCCCCACCTGAGGATCTACCAGGTAGGTGCTAGACAGGCTCTTCTATGTAGCTCCCTCTGCAAGCCCTGCCTCTAAGGCATCCCAGGCCTACCTTGTCCAGGAGCTTGTCCATTTCCTCCTTCCTGGCCAGCTCCGACTCCTCCAGAACCCGACGCTGGGCAGTCTCCTTTTTCAGAAACTCAATCTCCCTGGAGACAGGCAAGGGCAGGCAGTAGTGAGTAAAAGGTGTGGTGCCTGGCCTCTGTCTGGGGAGAGGCAGGGTCTTCAGCAACACCTGGCCAGCACTGCCGTGCTTCTCTCAGGTCAAGAGGTCTGAGCTTTCCCTAAGGCCTCTGAGATCTGGCCCTGTGCTGGTGGTGCTCTGCTGTAGGCCCCAGGGAACACTACCATGGGGCCTGCCAACCTCTCTGCTCTGTCTCCCTACTCAGCTGGGGAGGGGGGGAGGACTGCCACTGAAGGCCTCCCAATCACCCTGGGCTTAGGACCTGCAGCCTGCCACGTACTTCTGCTGGTAGTCCTTGATGAGGCGCTTGGCCTTGCTGTACTTGCGCTCCAGGGCCTGGTATTGGGCCTGGGTCTCCCGAAGGTGCTCATCCACCGCCTGGCACAGGCTCTGCGCCTCACCCCAGTAGCCCTCTAGTTTCTCCATGCGCTCCTTGTTCTCTTCCACACTCTGCTCCAACTGGGCCTTCTCCACTCGCCAGCGCCCCTTCTCCTGCTCCAGGCTCTGCAGCTGAGAGGAAGAAGCAGCCCTAGGTTGGTGAAGGCCAGAAGGAGCTACAGATCCCCATCCTGGCACCAGGGCCACAGTCTTTAAGAGATTCTTGTGGAAGTTGGGTCCATATCCCCAACCACTAGATCTCCTGTGCTGACCTGGGAATGGAAACCTTAGCCTCAGGGCTCCTAACCAGGGTCTCTCTCTCAGCAGTGTGCGCCCAGGAGGCCTCCATTAGTCACTGACTAGCTCTGAGACTTAGGGTATTTTCTGCTGGCACCTCAGCCCTCTCATCTGGAAAAAGCGAGTGGTGTGTAGTGAAGTGGTAAAATGGCAAAGTGCAGGACAGGTGAGGTTTGCCATTGCTCTGGGCCCTCTGCAGCCCTGACCTGTCAACCTGTCCCTGCTCCTGGGGCTTCCTCAACAATCTGGACCCTCTCCAATATCCAATGACTTTGAACCTCCCAAAGGCTCCATCTGGATCCTTTGTTCTCTCCATAGCATTACTTGAGCGGAATCCTAACCCTGATACCACCTCTCTGCATTGACCCCCAAATTCCAACCTCCAGCACAGCCTCACTCCCAACTTTCAAGCCAGCTCCTCATGAACACCATGCCCTAAACTAGACTAGCATCTGTGCAAACCAATGTCATTTGTTAGATGGTGCTAGCACTTCACAGCCCCGGCACTCAGTCTCAAGCCCTTGCTAGCCTACACACGTGTTTGCTGTTAAAGCTCTGTGCGCTCTGTGACTAGCCAGAAAGGCCTTCCTGCAGACCCTCAGATTCACACAGGGTCTCTGCGTATGTCTCTCCCTTTCCTGGGAATGCCCATCTAACATCTAAACTTCTACTTCTCTGTGCCATGTATCACTTCAGATACTCCACGGAAGCTCTCTGGACTGCCCACTCCCAGCCAGAACAGGTCCTTAGTAACTGGGTCCTCTCCTCCAGAATCCCAAGTCAGGTTGTGACAGCAGTCACTGTTGTACAGGCTCAAAGCTGCCCAAGGGCAAACTCGATTTTGCCTAGTGCCATGACTGGAGCACTGCCAGACATCTAGAAGGTACTCAATGCATCTCTGTAAATAGAATGGCCCTGGCTTTCTGTGCCCCTGAACAGACCTTCACCTCACTCTGATTTGTGCCCTGGAAACACCCAGGAACATAAATGTGGCTCTACCCCACCCTTGGGCTGTGCTCAGGGCTTATCTGGCCTACCTTGCCCAGGTCTCTAGTCAATTTACCTAGCTCTAAGTCCTGCCCTCCCTTGTGCCCTCTCAGCTTCCTGAGCAGTGCTGGCTACCCAAACCCCTGTGGCCACACAGCCCCACACTGTCTACAGGGCCAAGACTAGAGTTCTTGGGGGAGGGAGTCGCACACTGTCAGCTGTTCAGACTGTCTCTCACCTCTCTCTAGCTACAACCTAACAGGCCTACTCTCAAAGCCAGTCTCCAAGCTCAAGTTCATCTCCTTGCCTTGAACATTCATTCTTTCTCTGCCCGCACAGAGGAAGTATATACACACGTGTACCTGGATCCACCCAATCTGCATGGCCCCTGGGCACCTTCACTATGGAATCTATGGATTCTCATGCCTGCAAACATACTGGCAGCAGTGTGCTTGTGTGAATGTGGATTGTGTCACATGTCACAGCACCTCTATGTTGTAGGCCAGGTGGTCTGGATGACAGTCACACCCTGTATCTCAGTGCGCTTCAGGGCAGAGAGGATGTCTGTGGAAGTATGAGAAGCAGGAATAGGGCCCCAGTGATTGTATCTGTGCAGTGTGGGATATCTAGATGTCTGGGTGAATGGCGCTGTGGGTATCATGGGTCCTGGCTAGCATGTGTCAGGGTATGTCCCTCTGAATAGCATGGATTGATCCTTGGACCTATGCATGGACCACATGTAGAACAGTCCAGGTGCAGACATGGAGAACAGGTCTTAGGGTACCTCTGTGAAAAAAGTTTCTATTTTGGCCAGTCCTGGGGCTTGAACTCAGGGCCTGGGCACTGTCTCTGAGCTTCTTTTTGCTCTAGCGCTCTACCACTTGAGCCACAATGCCACTTCTGGCCTTTTCTATTTATGTGGTACTGAGGAATCAAACCCAGGGCTTCATGTATGTTAGGCAAACACTCTACCACCAAGCCACATTCCCCGCCATGCCTGACTTTTGATTGAGTAACTATTCTGTGCCTGGGTACTGTATTAAGGATGCAGATGTAATTATCTCATTTAACTCACATGGCTCCTATGGTTTGGAGTATTTTACCCCATCTTAAAGGGGATGGAAGCCCAGATAAGTGAGTAATGGAGCAGCTCTGTATTGTGATCCTCATGTCCCAGTGGCCTGGTGAGTGCTGTGTGAGGGGCCCCTCCCTCAAGCCTCTGACCTGCTCAGTGCACACACAGGTGCACGTGTATAGGTACCCTCACCTTTCGTTTCAGCTGCTGGATCTCTGCTTCAGTCACTGCGTGCTTGATCTGGAGCTGCGGGCAGAGGTTGGCACTCAGCTCCAGGGGGCTGAGATCCACCTGCCTTCGCTCACTACCCCAGGACCCATCTCCCACCTCCTTGAACTTGTGCACCAGCTTCTCGGGCTCCATGTCCACAGGAGACAGCGCATCCTCGTTCTCTGCCAGCTCGAACACCTCGATGGCCATTTCACCACCTGGGAATGTGGGGCTCAGCTCCTCTTCCTCGTCAGTGGCATACTCCCCTGTCTGTGAAGGGACACAGGCGGTGCGGACTCCACACACACACACACACAAACACACACACACACACACACATCCCAACCCCTCAGCATCCCCATGACCAAGCCTAAGGCCAACAGCAGTTCATGTCAGACTAGGGGAGCCCTCATGACAGAGGTTGGTCCTCTGCAAAACCTTGAAGAAACAGACTGCACTATTCCCTACACAATATAGGTCTCTGCTATCTCACATTGAGGACTGTTCGAGAGAACTGAGTTCCTTGCAGGACTGCAAAGACAGACAGTGTGACTCCATGAGATAAGGGGTTCTCTGAGGGAAGGGTCTGTTTCTCTTGCTGTGTTTTGGGCTTCTTTACCAAGCCTGAGAAAATGGTAGAAGCAGATGGCTGCACTGCCTGCACTAGCCACTAGAGGGCAATCACTGTACCAGCTAGACTGGGAGTCCTACCTCATCATCATCCTCCCCATACTGGGCATATCTTTGCTCCATCATCTCCCGCTGCCATCGCTCTTGCTCCAAAGTCTGCTGAATTAACTGAGCCACTTCACTCTGCTCTCCAGGCCGTTCCCGGCCAATCATGAACCTGCAACAGCACAGATGTCATCCCTGCCTGTCATCCATAGGGAATACCACTACCTTCCCTGCTGGTAGACCTCTCTCCAAACACAGGCCCTCCCAGGGGAGGTGAACTGAGAGGCTAAGTCCAGAAGCTATAGTGTTAATAATGGATAGGAGTTGAGACACTATCACATTCCCCCTAGGGAAAGCAGGAAGGCCTGCTAGCCCTCCTAGACAGTTTTGGGGAGGGGATATACTAAACTTTGGGATGGTCTGCATAGGACATGAGCTCAAGGACTGCCAGGGTAAGGGCCTCTTCCTCCACCATGTGGGTGAAAAAGAGGCAGGGATGGCAAAGGTGACCCATCCTGGGAGGGCTGTGGCTTTGGAGGAGGGTCTTGGGTGAGCTCCAAGCCCGTGTTTCAGGAAGGGGAGGGACGATGGAGATTGGAGATTAGTATGGAGAGGAAACAGTGGAACTTCCAGGCCCCAGCCCCTCCTCCCCAGGGCCACCCACATCCTGTTTCTCTCCACCACCCTTTCCTGGGGGCAGTGGCCCTCTTTGAGGGGGGCAGGGAGCAACCCCTGAGTGCAATGCCAAAGGTAGAATGCATGCAGGGAGCTTCTACTCCATGTCCTGTTCTCGGGGAAGGTGTACATGGCCTGGTCAGAAGAGAGGAATGAGGTTCTGGGTAAGATAAACCCAACTGGTTGGCATTCACATTACATACCTGGGTTCTTCAATAACTGAGCCAGAAAAAGGCAGAGGGAAAGGAGGATAAGCCCAGGAAGATGAGGGGGGTGGGGGAAGGCATGACCAGGGGCCTAGAAGCAGGAGTACTGTGGCCACAGCCATCCCCTCAGGCAGGGCCAGATGTGGGCAGGAGGCATGGCAGCCAGCCACCTCCCTACTTGTCTGCCCCAGAACTCTCACCGCACGCGGCCCTTGGTGTTCCTGAGCACGGAGGCTGCAAAACTCTGGGTCACTCCCACCAGACTCGTTCCATCCACCTCCACCAGGAGATCATTCACCTGGATCCTAGGGAGGTGACATTGGTTATGGGATCATAAGACAATGGTTATGGGGTCATAAGACGACCTGTCCAGTGGAGGCAGAAGATACCCCTCCCACTGGAAACTGCAGGCCCACAGCGATCCAGTACTTTGTCTACAGGCATAACATACATGAGGCCAGATAAAGCAAAAGCCAGGCCCACCTGTGTGGGCAGAGAGCTCAGGGCAAGCCAAGCAGACACAGGCTTCCAAGGAGCAGGACAGCTGGCAGGCTTGCTTCCTGTAACACTCACATACTTGTCCCCTCTTCCATCATACTCAACTGAGCAGTTGGACATCCCCAGAACTCATCTCTCACGCACATATGTGCCGTGTCACCATGCTCTTAACAGTTCTGCCCGAGTCCCTAACTGCCCCTCTCTGGCTCACACACTGGCTCACATACTGCCACACCCACACACTCCCCACACACTCCAGCTGTGGCTCCTAAAGCTTCATCCCTCATACAAAGGGGAAGATGTGTATGCATCTGGCCTGCTAAGGAGGTGGAGGAACCCTAGCATACCTCCTTCCTCCTCTCCCACTTCCTGGGAACTCCAGGCCTAGACCTGGGGCTCCATGACAGTGGATACGTGGCCTGTTGTAAAGGTTCACTCTGATAGCCCATACTTGTATGTAAAGGGTTCACCCCCATATCCCATACACAAGCCAGGAAGCACCTTCATCATGCATACTTTCCAAATCAACAGGTGATAGTGGGAAGGCTCTGGAAAGGGAGAGAAGGGGATAAGAGATACTTTCAACCTTTCTGTTCTCTGCCCTGCTCCAGGCTGCCTGGCCACAGCACACAGAAACCAGCTGAATAAAGAAACCATGCCTCTAACGTGACCTCTCTGGACCCTCCTGAGGAAGGCTCTGCAGCCTCTTCCCCCCTCCCCTCTCCCACTGCAACCCACATACAGCTGAACAGCTGGTGGAGGGTCACTGGCTGGCCCAGAGCTCCAGGACACCTTTCCTGACCCTCTGATTCACCCTTATAGACACAGATGTTCAACCCAGCACATGGACAAACACCTGGCTTCAGAACACACCCCACCCCCCAACAAGGCTAGTCACATCAACGCCTGCATCCCAGCTGTCTGCACCCCTGACCATATCTCCTCTTTACCATATCTCCTCTTTCAGCTCCTGGCCTGAAGTCTCTTGTGCTCATTTGGCTTAGCTAACTCCTGTTCAGTTCCAGTGTCACTTCATCCAGGGAGCCCTTCCCATACCCACACAGGTCAAGCCCTCCTGTTTGTGCTTTATGTATTTTTCCTCCATTCAGCCACTTCCTGTGTGTCCCTTGTCTGGTGTCTTTCTGCCTCACTACACTGCCTGCTTCCTGAGGGCAAGGCCCTTGACACCAACTCCCCAAGCCTGGCATCAGCCTAACAACAAAAGGAAAGGAAAGCTCAAATGTGCTTCACAGAGCCCATGCTCCCTGCCAACGCCCACACGCCCTAGGAAGGGCACATGGTACTAGGTACAGCTCCCATTGCTACCCTTGGAGGGGTTCCACCTGCTGTTCACAGCTGTAACTCCAGAGCCTGGTGCTCCCCGAACACTGGAAGCCACACAACACACCAGTGTCCCAGGGAATGGGGGAGTGCTCTGGCTGCCCAGTGGCTGCGCTGTAAGTCACAGCTGTGCAGAGTGAGGCGGGTAAGTGTTACCTGCCATCCCGATGGGCAGCGCCACCCTCAGTCACGGTCTTGACGAAGATGCCCAGCTTCTCCAGGCCCATGTCGGCCCCGGCCCCCATGCCAATGATGCTGATGCCCAGGCCCTCGGAGTCTGTGGGGCAGAGGAGGAGATGCAGGGGCTGGCAGGAGATCCTCTCCCATCCCTTACCCTTGGGGGCAGTCCCCAAGGCTTGGGGATATCCCACAGGGGAGGAAGGGGCACACCCCTTCCACACCCTACTTGCCAGGCTAACTATGCTGCCTCGTGGGTCACCTTTCTGTTCTTGGTCCAATCCAAAGAGCAGATAGGAAGCAGGGTATGTCAGGGGTAGCTGGGTGTGACTGTATTGCATATATAGATAAGGGAATGTGGCTGGGATGAGGACTGCGACAGGACTTGGCCCTAAGCCTTTTGGTCTCCTCCCAGCAGTTTCTACACTTAGAAGCTTCCATACCTAGAGCTTACTGACCCGTTTTTTCTCCCCTGAGGCTCACTGCCCTAGCCACACCTATCCTGCAGGCCATACCTGCCTCTGCCAGTCTCATGGGCATCTGGCATCCAAACCTATGACCTTGCTTATAAAGATTCCTTCCTGGGGCTGGCACCACCAGCTGCTGTCTGCCAGACCTGGGAAGCACTTGGATTCTACCCCACCCCCACAGCCTCCACAGAGCCAAATAAGCACAGGCCCTGTGGATTCTCCAATCTAAATCCACCCGACTTCTGTTCTACCAATACCTTGTGTGTAGTCTGTACCACAGTGGTCTTCTACCCACTCTGACCCTTACCTTGAACTGTAGCTAGTGTGATTTTTTTTTTTTTTTTGCAAGTCCTGGGGCTTGAACTCAGGACCTAGGTATTATCCCTGAGCTTTTTTTTTTTTTTTTTCTGGTCAGTCTTGGGGCTTGAACTCTGGGCCTGGGTGCTGTCCCTCAGATCTTTAGCTCAAGGCTAGCGCTCTACCACTTGAGCCACAGCACCACTCCTGGTTTTCTGAGTGGTTTACTGGAGATAAACAGTCACAGCCTTTCCTGCCCAAGCTGGCCTTGAACCACGATCCTCAGATCTCAGCCTTCTGAGTAGCTAGGATTACAGGTGTGAGCCACCATGCTGGGCCTTGAGCTTCTTTTGCTTAAGGCTAGCACTCTTTATCACTTGAGCCACAGCGCCACTTCCAGCTTTTTCTGTTTATTGAGGAGGAATTGAGGAATTGAACCCAGGGCTTCATGTATGCTAGGCAAGCATACTACCACTAAGCCACATTTCCAGCCCTAATTGTTAATTTTTTTTTTTTTTGATAGGTCATAGGGTTTTGAACTTGGCCTGGGTGCTGTCCCTAAGCTCTTTTGCTCGAGGCTAGTGCTCTACCACTTTGAGCTACAGCCCCACTTCCCCAGTGTGATCTTTCTAGAACATTTTTCACACTTGCAATGGCTGCCAATCCATCTCAGAAACTTTCTGACCATGTCCTTGCCATGGTCTATGTGGCCTTGGTCCCATGCCCTTCCTACAGTCACTATGTAAAGGCAGCCATCGGTGTCTACCCTACACACCTAAATTCTTCATCAAGATCCATGGGAGCATTGCTTCCTTGGGAACTGCCCTAGTCTGGCCAGGCCCCCTTAAATGACTTAACTTCAAAGGCAGCCTCCTTTCCCTTTACATACCTCCGACAGCACAGACAAGTTAGAGAGTGTCTCCAAGGAGATCGCTCCCAGGGAGCCTGGTTTTGCCTATCACCATTCCTACAGGAATGTGCACAGGACCCGTGCACACTGCTGGGGAGATAGGGTAACTAGAGGTGCAAATAGTGTTCCATGCAGGGTGCACAGTGGCCATGTACTGGAGCCGCGCTGAATACACGAGGCACTGAGAACTAATGGAGAAAGCCCAGCATGTGACAGGGCAAGTTAGACACAGGTACCCGCACGAGGAGCCTAGACAAGCCCACTGTGCCCACTGACCAGAGTCTGATCTCTCACCCTTCTCCAGCTCCACAGGAAACAGCTCCAGCCGTTCCACCCGCTTCTCCAGCTCATACTCTGCAGAGGCAGCCATAGGGTCCACATCCTCATTGCGGCGGTCATAGTCCTCATTGGAGTAGGTGCTGAACACCTAGGGAGGAGCAGCTTGTCAGAGGCCAGTGGGAGAGCAAGGACAGAACTGGAAGGGGAAGGCTGAGGGGGAAGGCTAAGCCCTGATAACCCCTGCACCCCTCCTGCCACAGGCCTTGCCCCCACCCCTGCCTTGCAATGACCATGGCTCTGAACAAAGGCCTTCCTAGTTCTGGAGCTCAGAGGGCTGGAGCAAGGGACCCAGCTTGGCCTGATCCATATGGAAGCTCACCCAGCAGAGCATGGTCTGTGCAGGAATGGATGACCACTCCTGGGAAGACTGCCAGGTGCAGGAATCTCAACACCAGGGCAGAGAGAAAGTGAGAGACAGGACCTGAGAGCAGACAGGCGAGGATGGACACAAAGGGACACACTGTACACGCACACACAAACACACACACGAACAGGCTGAGCAGCAGAGGGGAAGAGGAGGAGGGGACAAAGGATGAAGATGCTGCATGCCAGATGGGGAGGGGGGAGAAGGGGGGAGGAGCGCAAAGGGATAGAGAGGCAGAGAGGCAACCCCCTCTGTCCTGCACCTGAAGTGAATCGATAAATGGGTGTTAGGGGCCAAAGGAGTGGAAAGGACTCCCTCAGAGAAGGGAAGCCCTCTGCTCATGGGAGCCCCTCACGTGGCAGGAACAGGGTCAAATCTGGACCCCCATGGCCCTGTGGTAGATCCAGGTCTGTATCCCTGGAGAATGGCAACTCTGAGTTATACCCTCTGTCTACATCATTAGGAAGCCAGTGTAGAAGCTCCTGGTTCCGTATCCTAGAGGGACCAAGGATCCTGGGGAAGTGGCAGCCTCTCTGCCCCTGTCATAACATCCTTGTCCTTCTAGATCTCCAGTCAGGGGAATTTTCCGGTCTCATCTCTCCAACTGACCAGAAATGATGAAGCTGGGGTTCTTTATTTATTTTTATTTTTTTGTCAGTTGTGGGGGCTTGAACTCTGGGCCTGGGCGCTGTCCCTCAGTTCTTCAGCTCAAGGCTAGCGCTATACCACTTGAGCCACAGCACCATTCCGGGTTTTCTGAGTGGTTTATTGGAGATAAGAGTCTCATGGACTTTCCTGCCCCGGCTGGCTTTGAACCATGATCCTCAGATCTCAGCCTCCTGAGTAGCTAGGATTATAGGCATGAGCCATCAGCACCTGGCAAGGCAGGGGTTCTTTAGGGGTGCTTAATTCTGGGTCCAATGGGGTGCCCCCAGTGGGTGGTTAACAAGCAAGCACCATTTGGGGTACCATGACTTGTTCAGCTTCACTGCCGGCAGCGACAGGTTGGCACCACTTGGAGCCAAGCGGAGGCGGAAGGGGTGGGAGCAGCTCTATCAACTGGCTGGGCTTGAGGCCTAAGAAGCTAGAATGGAAAACTGCCCCCTCCCCCAAGGGTACTGCCGTGGCCCCCTCCACCCCAGAAGCAGGCTCATAGGCATCCTGGCAGGCAGGGCACTCACTCTTGTGTCCCAGACTTTGTTTGGACTTGCTCCCAGCCATCCCCACCCCCATCCCAGAGGCTCAATGCCATGGTAGGAGGGGGACAGGGCACTCAGAGGACGAACCAGAAGCATGCTAGGAGTGATCTGTGTAGTCACCTGCTCATGTCCTGAACCACATCCCATTCACAGGAACTGGTGCTCAGGCCTTTAAAGGCTCACCCAGCCCGATTAATGGTTGGTGGACATCAACACCAGCTGCTGAGAGGCACAGGTTACAGACCTACTCCTCATTCCAAATGAACCATGGGGTCCATTGCCTGAGGTCATAGGCTTAGCCAATGGCAGGGCAGGATGGAATGACATTCTGATGAGCTCTGGATGGTAGGTCACCAATGATTTTTGTCCTCACTGTACAATGCCCCAGGCTTTGGGACAGGCTGGCATGAACCGGAACTAGCCTTGGCCCACTTTTGCATCTGAGGTCCCACTGAAGAAGAGTATTCCTCCCCATCACCACGCACAGACACACATGCCACTGTGACCTCCAAACAACCCGGCTTGTCCTGGGCCTTCATCTCCTCTCCTCAGCTGGTCAAATACTATTCACCTTTTCTAACCTGCCCTCTCCAAGAATCCAAAACCTCAGGCTCAGAGGATCTAGACCACTGATCTCCCCTCTTGTCAAAAGACCCTGGGCCGAGCCCTGCCTCCCCAAATAACAGGCTAGAGTTGAGTTCTTGACCCTCTGTGGAAGCCTCCACCTCCATCCATCAAATGACAACGGGGTCATGGGGGGAGGGAGGGGAATCCTGGGCTCAGAATCAATGTAGGAATGGGAGCAGGGGGAAGACTATCTTCTCTCAACCCCCCCCCCCCCCATCTCTGTGCTGGGGTAGAAAGGAGGAAATCCCTAGCAAATCCAAAAGTCAGACGCTCAGCTGCCCCACCCGCTCTGGCTCTCATACTGGCGGCCAGCTTCAGTCACCAGGGAGTTGGGAGCACTGCTCCAAATCATGTGCTATTTTTTACCAAAAAAATCAGGGTAAGGCGTCAGATATAGACAGCCAGAGGCCAGACCACACTCTCTCTCTCTGAGGGCATCAGGCTGCTGGGAGAACTGCGGGGGCAGGGTGGGGACTTTTGGGCCCTCCCAGGAACACCAATCTTCCTTCTAGGATGCCACTGCCCACAGAAGGGGCAAGGGATAGAAAGGGCTCCAAAGTCCCCAATCGGGGAAAGGTTGCCTCGGAGGGGAGCTGTGGCCACCCTCTTTTAACCTTTCAGGCCTGGACTGGGAGGTAGAAGAGGGCAGAGGGTGAGGCACTCATAGTTGGGATGAGAGAGAAACTTGGGCAGCTTCAGTGTCCAGGAGTAGTTATGGAAACTCCAAGCAAACAAATTGTTGGGAAGGGCAAAGGCTGGGCAGGATCCAAGGCTAAGGAAAGTCCTGAGACCTTGACACTGCTGTGGGGAAAGGAGAGTGTGGGCACAGCAGAGCCTGGGACAGGAAGAAAGGACCATCAAAGCTAGTGTGCCAGCTGAAAGAGGAGAGTGGGGAAAAGGAGTAGTGCATTCTGGTTTTTCATTCTTCCCAGGGGACATCCTCTCCCCACCCAGTTCTGTTCAGAGCATCTCCAGGCACTGACCAGCAAGGCCCACAAACCAAACACCAAATAGTGTGTGTGGTGAGGAAGATTACCCCCCCCCCCCAAAAAAAAGGACAGCTTCCACCCTCTTTCAGGATACCTAGAGGATGTGGCAAGAGCTGTTGGGGCCTGCCAAGGCCATGGGAATCTGTCCCATTGAACAGCTAAGAGCAAAGGCATGCGGGCCTCTGCCAGGCACCCAGGGACAAACTCCTGGTCTCACTCTGCCTCACTCCTCTCCATGGCCCACAGAATGCCTACCCTCTCCTGGGCCAAAAAATGCCCTCTCCTTGTGCAATGAGAGACCTGGGAAGTTAGCCCAGCACAGACCCCAGGAGGCCGGGCCTTTCTCCCAGCCCATCACATGGCCATAGCCAAGTTCACCCTCTCTCAACCTGCTTCCTCCTTTCACTTCTGCAAAGTTGGGGTGGGGGCACAAAGAGGGAGGAGGCAAGGTCCACCCCCCCTACACCTTTGTTTTGGGAAGTTTCTGGCTCCCCATCCACCCCCCACTCACAGCCAGCTCCCAAATATGGGAAAGCAGAGAGTAATTCAAAGCCTGGATGCCCCCCCCCACACTGCCCCCAGGACAATGTGGGGAGTCTTTTGAGGACACCCACATCCTTCACACCACCCTAGCCTCGGGCAGCCTCTGGAGGAAGCAAAGTCTGGGAGAGGCAGGGAAGCAGGTGTCCCAGGCCAGGCCAGGGGCAGGTTGGGTGGGGCGGTGCTGGGCGGGGCGGCAGGCTCGGGGAACCTGAGGGCAGGTCGCAGCAGGCTGTCCCAGACCTGAAGCCCTCCCCGCTCTGACAAACAGCTGGAACTCCCCGACGCCCCCCACCGGGAGGAACTTCTGGGAAGGGGGCTGGGTAGCCAGGGCTGACTCAGCCTGCCGAACCTGGCTGGTGAGGCGGGGGCGACACGGTGCACGTGGCCAGGGCGGCGTGGGGGCAGGAGGGGGGTTGGGGGGGGGGGAGAGGCTCACTCACTTGGATGGGCGCCGTGCTGAAATGGATCTTCCGGCTCGGGGCCGGATCCTCTTCCTCCGAGAGCCCCGGGATCTCCACGCACCCAGACTCGGGCTCATAGGGGGGCTCTCCGTCCTCTTCATCTTCCTCATCGTCCTCCTCCAGGGCACTGCCCCCAGAGTCCTCCCCAAGCCCACTGTAGGCGCTCACGTCCACCAAGTCCGCCTCCGAGAAGTCCTCCTTCTTGGACTCGTCGGCCTCCTCCGGGGCCACGTCCGGGGCCCGGCCGTTTCCCACCCCCCTCTCTGGCTCTGCCACCGTCGCCACCTCCTCCTCGGGGGCCGCTTGGGCCTTGGGCTCCTCGGGCGCGGGGCTGGCTGTGGTTGCCGAGGTGCTGCCATTCTCCAGGGCCGCGTGGACCGTCACCTCGGCCTGGATCACTTCCCCGGGGGCAGACTCGGCCTCTGAATCCCCGCTCTCCTCGACCTCCACCGGCTTGATCTTCCGCACCTCCCGCGGCTTGGGGGGCGGCCGGGCGGGGGCCACTCGGTGCTGGGGGGGCTGCTGCCCTCCGGGGCCACTCCGCTCCTTGTCGGTCGGGGCATCTCCCGACGGGGCGGGCGGGGGCGGGGGCGGCTGGAACACCCGGGATCGCTTACTGACCAGCTTCGAGTTGACCTGGGCAGCCCCTGCGGCCGCAGCCCGGGGAGGCCCGGGCCCTCGGTGGAGGCCGGTCCTCGAGTCGGCCTTCTCGAAGACGGCGCTGAGCTGGCTGACCGTGGGCGACACGGCGTCGGCGTCCAGCTTGTCCAGCGCCTCGGTGCTGCCGTTGAAGCGCACCACGACGTCCAGCTTCCGGTCCTGCAGGCCGGCGCGCTCCTGCCGGAGCAGCCGTCGCGCCGCGGCCTCCTTGTCGCCGGCGGCGGCCGCGGGGCTGCTCCGTTCGAACAGCTTCCGCGTCTCCTGCAGCCGGGACGGCGGGTGCGGCGGCGGCGCGGGCTGCGCCGAGGGCGCGGGCTTGGAGTCGAAGCGGCTCACGCGCTCCGACACGCTGGTGCCCAGCTTGAGCAGGGCGCTGTGGTCCACGTTCTCGTTCAGGCTGCTGGCCCGCGGCAGCGACAGGCGCACGCCGCCGCGCTCCGATGCCCGGGGGGCCTCGGCCATGCCCGCGCCGCCGCCCGCCTCGCCCGGCGGCCCCGCCGTGGTGCCCATCTGCAGGAACATACTTTTGATGCGGTGGACGTTGGAGCCATATTTCTTGTGGTGGGCCGCCTTGGGTGCCTCGTCGGGCCCGGATGCGTCGGGCGGCTTCAGCGCCTGGATGCCCGCCTCATAGGCGCTGCGGTGCGGGGAGGCGCTCCGGAGGGGACCCCCGGGCCCCCGCGGCTCCGTCTTCATCATGATGGGGGTAGCCGGGTTCGCATCCCCCCGCTCCCCGCGGCCCCCCTCCAGCAGGCGGCTGGCCAAGTCGGGACCACCGTCCCCTCCCCCCCTCCAAGAAAGCAGCCTTGAAAGGCCTTTTTGAGGGTCCCCCAGAAACCAAGCTGCCCCCAACACAGTTAACCCCGCTTTAGAGATGAAATCCCCGGGCACCCCGTATGGGTCGCCTCCCCCAATCAAGCTGCCAAAGGCACAGCCAGATCCCCCCTCCCCAACCCCCGCCTTCGTTAGCCCGAGCGGCCTGGTGCGGTCGCCCCCACCCAAACGGGGAAAGCGGCAGCCGGGGCCGGCGGGACCGCGCGCCCAGCCCGCGAAGCAGCGGCGGCGCCCGCTCACATCGTCCGAGGCGGTGTCAGCAGGGCTGGCGCTGCGGGCGCCCCCCACTCCCGCCGGGGGCCTCGGCTCTCGGGGCGCCGGGTACCCCAGCGCCCATGGCTGCTCCGGCCGGCCCGGGCCGCTCCGCCGCGCCTCCCTCCCTCCCTCCCTCCCCCCCTGCTCCCCGAGCCTCGGTCTTTTCTCTGGCTCTGCCCGAGCAGCGGCTGCCCGACACCGAGCGGCTGCCCTTCTCGCCGCCGCCGCTGGGGGACTGGCACCGCTGGGTCCTAAAGGGATCGGATTTCCGGGGCCGGAGCCTTTGAGCCCTCCCCTTCCCCTGCAACTCGACGTCTCGCCTCGCCCGCGCCGCGAGCCTGCCTTCCGCCACCCTCGGGCTCCTAGCCAATCCTCTTCGGCCCTTCCGTCCCTGCGTCTGCCCGGGGCTTATCAACCATGCACATAGATAGGTACTCCCCCGTTTCATTTTGGGGCGCAGGAGTCCAGTCTGCGTCGGGGGGGGGAGGGGGTGTCTCTCAGGGCTGCCCCTCTCCTCCCCCCAAAGTGGCGGGGCTTCCGTCGAAAGGGATCAAGCATCACTTCCTTCGAGGGCCCTATAGCTCCTGAGTGGACTTCCGGGCTGTTGATTGATGTTGTGAAAATACGGATTTCTAGGCCTTCTTCCGAACCTTGAGCCCGAGAGTGTCAGAGGGGGGTCCCGGGAATCTGCATTTTAACAATTTCCCTTAAGGGGAATCTTTTGTGTCTTTGTAGGTGGAAATACTCTGGGGCTCAGTACTAGTGACTTTGCTGTGGTGAAGGCGGAGGAATGAATTCAAAAGGGGTAGCCCTACCACCCAAATAGCAAAAGAGTCCCCAAATTGCCCTTTGAAGTCTAAAAAGAACGTCCTGGGGCCTGCCTGCTCCGAACCCCAGGCTAGAGGGAATGGAATCCTGGTCTTCTTGCCCTGCCAGGATAATCTGGTCTCTCAAACAGGAAGAAGGAGTTTTGGAGGAATTCTAGAGGCTTGAGGCCAAAGTTTCCCCATTGAGAGCTCCAACTTGGGTCACTGATTTAAAGGATCCTGGTCACTGAGTACAAGTGTGGAGGGGGGGGTGGGTAGGGAATGTGAGTGTGACCTACACATCCCAGTCCTGACAACCCCAAAAGCTGCCTTGAAGCGTTCTCCTTCCTCATCTAAACCATAAGAAGCCTGAGGGTTTCCTTTTATCCCACCCTAACTGCTTGGGCCCTGAGGGGGTGAAGGTCTATCCTCTTGGTCAGGTTCAAACGTATCTCTCCAGGTCAGCAGAATACAGAAACTGATGAACACGGTGCACACTAGGACCCAGAGAACAACTCAGGCACAAAGCCTCCCGCCCCCCCCCCCCCCACCACACACAGCTGCTTCCTGCTTCTCAGGCCTTCCTGCGGCCTCTGCCTCCTCCCTCGCCCCCTTCCTTTCCATCCTCCTCCTCCTCTTCCCAATTTCCATTCTCCCTGGCCGAGGAAGGGTGCTCTCCTACCCTTCCATTGTAAAGAGCGGGGTACATGTGGGTTTTGTAGGATACTAACCCATCAGCACGTGCATCCCTGTGTGGGGGATGGGTGTGGAAGCCGCCAGGGAGCCCTGGATACTGGGGTGAGGAGGTGCCAGGAACCACAGTACTGGATCCCCAGCCTGGTGGTGCTAGAGGGAGGAAGATTTGAATTCCTAAGGGACTCATCTTCACCCACCTACATCTTTACCCCAAGGCCCAGAAGACTCCCCCTCCCCAATGTTGCTCCTCTGTTGGGGGCTGAGTACAAAAGCCATCCTCCCTGACTTCCTGGTCTCACTTGTAAATGGGCTCGGGACTTGGCTATTAATCTCAAATTTGGGGTTTGAACCCTCACCCCACTATGGCCAAATTTTGAGGAAGCCTGAAAGCTGATCCCATTGGAGGTTGGGGATTTGGGCAGTGTCCCCAACAGCTCCTTTCTGGATTGGAGGAAGGTACAGGCCCCTGGGTGTTCTGCCCAGAATCTCCCACACCCTTTGTGGTGAGTCATCCTAACTGGTCCCAGCCCAAGGGGTCTGTGCCCACGCTTCTGGCCAGGTGGGGCAGCCCCCAGTTTTTGAGAGTGGGAGGAGGAGCTGAGAATCAGCTGTCAAGCCCAGAGACCCTCCATGGCCCATCCATCCCTCTGACAGCATCTCTAGAGTGAACTAGCATCATGGAAATGCTCGGGTCTCCTTTGCCCAGAGATTTCCAAGGGTGAAACCCCGTTAAGGGCTTTGTCTTGCGAGCCTGTGGCACTATCCAGAGCTTGGATGACATTAATGAGTGGGATTATTATTTCATGGGCTTCACCCAGGCTGGAATTTCCCAAGGAAGCTTTCAGGGAGAGATAAGTGCTTTACCATCACTCTTTCCTTGGAGTCAGCTGCCAAGTGGCTGGCTTGTGAGATGGCTGGGGCACAGTGTGAGGTGCCACCTCCTCCTGCCAGCCTGGAGGAACGAACCTACCTGCCAGGAGGGAGCTCCACTGGGAGGGTCACCATCTGAACTCAAGGCTTGAATGTAATTTCATTCTCTCTAGTTCAGGATAACAGCCTATAAACACACATACCCCTTCTCTCCAGAGTCCTTTATGGAAATTCCTTCCTTTCCTTTGCCCTGGCTTACATTCTACTAGTAGAGACCATGGCATATTCTCAAGGTTGGCCCAGGAGCCAGGCTTCCAGGGTTCAGATCTTGGTTTGATCACTTAACTAGCTATGTGACCTTAATCATGTCACTTACCCTTTCTGTGCTCTGAGAAGATAAACTGAGGCCCAGGAGAGATAATAGTGACTTTAACCTAGACAAGTGGGTATGGGAAGAAATGCTTTCCCAGCATTCACCAGAAGATAGAGGCTGCAATGGACAGATAATCCATCCCAGCTCCCTCTTAGCAAAGCATCTCCCTGTTTTCCCGTACCCCCTGTCTGAGGAGGGCCTTCTGAGATGGTGCTCTCAAGACTGTTCCTCCAAACACAAGGTGTAACAGCAAAGGTAGTGATGAGGGCAGGGAAGACCTGGTATATGACAGGTTCTGAGCCTTTAGTGCCCTGGGCTCAAACCCAGGCTGGGTGCCAAGGGTGGATGTTCTTCCCAGCCCCAAGGCCTTGAGACAGCTCCAGAAAGTGGGCAAGTCCTGGCCACAGTCCTCATAGCATAGGGTGGTCTTGGACACTGCCTTTCAGCCATGTGGTAAGCAAGTAGTCCTTGCCCCAGAGTTCCTTTCCTCTGTCTGCCAGGGCGCCTTGGGCTGGCTCTAAGATACTGGGCATTTTAAATGCTTAGGTGTGCACATGTATAAGAGAGCTCAACCCCAGCACAGCAGTTTTAGAGGGGCCCTTAGAGGCCCTTGGCTGACTGCCTTCAGAGAGAAATGAGGTCTAAGCAATAGCTTATCCAGATTTACAGACTAAGCTAGGGGGCCTGGAGGCTTGAATCCAGTCCTAAGTTCTACTCACTTGCTGGATGACCTTGGCTAGGCATTTCCTATCCCTAAGCCTCAATTCCTAAACCTGTTCAACTTGATGGTCTGAGCTTGTTTCTGAGCATGGATGATCCTTGGTGTTCTCTACTCTGTATGGAGCAGAGTAGAGCTTTGAAGCCAGACCATTTTTTGTTCAAATTCCCAAGCTGATTAGTTTTGCTTTTGTGCAGTCCTGGGGCTTGAGTTCAGGGCCTGGATGCTGTCTCTTAGTCTTTCTTGCTCAAGGCTGGTGTACTACCACTTGAGCCACACCTCTACTTCCAGCTTCTTAGAGGTTAGTTGGAGCTAAGAGTCTTACAGACTTTACTGCACAGGCTATGATCTTCAGCAGTCTCCTAAAAGCTAAGGTTACAGGTATAAGCCACCAGCACCCGGTTTAGTGTGAGCTTTAAATGGATTCTAAATGCACAGAGGAGTTTGTTGGAGGGTTGGCTGTTAACTGATCACACGTATATGTGAGTGTGTATATGTATACATGCGTGGGTAGGTGTAGCTGAGAATGAGCATTGGTGTCTAGATCTTAAAGTTGGTCTGCATGGGACTTTGGGTCTGGTTCCCTTTTAAGGTCTATAATATGAAATTCTGAAATAATAAGCACTTCCTGCCTTCAGCAACTCCAAAGCTCCCTCCCCTCCCCCTGGATAGAACCCAGGTTCTCACACATGCTATTTAGTGTTGTACTCACTGCCCCTGTTTGTGGGGCAGGGAGCGGGGGTCGGGGGCGGGGGTAGACTTCTGGGTGACCCTGTACTGTGGTTCTTCCTGGTCTTCTTTCCTTCCATCAGTCCCCACAGGACACTTTTATGTCCTTTGGAAGACACATCTTGGAGATTAGGAAGATCAAAAAAGGAGTCAGTGTGAGTGTGTGTGTGTGTGTGTGTGTGTGTGTGTGTGTGTGTGTGTGTGTGTGTATGGGGGCTTGGGGGAAGGGATAGAACAGAGCAAAGATTTCTCCAAATCATCAGTTGCTTTAAAGGATAACCTATATTTAGCTGGGCTTAGAGGGCCTGCAAATATGTATTTTGCAACGCAGACAGCCGTAGCCATGGGAGCTCCAGAGACATGCAGGGAGGTCAAAGAAAAAAGAAGAAGAAATAACCAGAAAGATTAAGCAATATATTTTGTCATCAGCATATAGGAAGAACTAATAATACACATTCCTGTTTGCATGGGTTTTTTTTTTTTTTTTCCATCGGCTGTCTGGATCTTGTGCTTTAGGGACCTAAAGGAAAAGACTGATTCTCAAATTACCTTCTCCCACTTACCTTTGCCTTTCTGCCCTGGCTCAAGGGAAAGAATGTCATGCCATGTCCCATCCTGGCTGGCTCTGCCCAGATACAGCCTGCAGAACAGAATGCCAGTTTTAGTTCCTCCATCCGCAGCCTCGGCCCGTTGTACTTCAGATGACCATGGTGTCGGCCTTAGGGTGAGGGAGCGGAAGAGCAAGGCTTCTACTTTCAGAGACTCTCCTTTCTAATTTTAAAAGAACAATAATCAATCCATATTACTTTTCTTTTAAATCTTTAAAAGAAAAGTTCAGCTGGGTGCCAGTGGGTCACACCTGTAATCCTAGCTACTCAGGAGACTGAGATCTGTGGATCACAGCTCAATGCCAG